TTAATACTATATGTTATCCAAATTTCATGTTCCGTATTTTAGTAGATACATTTTCAAGAAACTTCCGCCAATTATAATAACGGTCTAAAATTTTTCTCTTCTTATTATCATCAACCCAAAACATAGTATTATTGTTGAACCGGAATGTGAATTGAACAAAATCTCAGTATTGTTTCTTGTTTGATTGAAACTTTGGAGCAATCTATATACAGGAAGATCTTCAAGGCGGAATGCGAGTTCCCACCGTGGTTTTCCTTAGAGTCCAAGGAACTACTCTCAAGATTGCTTGTGCCAGATCCTGAACAACGAATTTCAATGTCAGAGATCAAAATGATTCCATGGTTCCGAAAGAACTTTACACCACCGGTAGTCTTTTCGATAGACGAAACGATCCCATCTCCACCAGAGCCACCAACAAAGAAAAAGAAGAAAGACCTAAACAAGGAGGAAGACGACGGAGTTTCTCCAAGATCCTTCAACGCATTTCAATTCATCACATCAATGTCTTCTGGTTTTGACCTCTCTAACCTATTCGAGATAAAACGGAAGCCAAAGCGGATGTTCACATCGAAGTTGCCCGCGAAATCTGTTAAGGAGAGGCTAGAGACGGCGGCGCGTGAGATGAACATGAGAGTGAAACATGTAAAAGACTGCAAGATGAAGCTACAAAGAAGAACAGAAGGCCGCAAAGGGAGGCTCTCAGTGACGGCGGAAGTTTTCGAAGTCGCTCCTGAAGTCTCTGTTGTCGAGTTCTGCAAATCTTCCGGCGATACATTGGAGTATTACCTCTTCTGTGAGGATGACGTCAGGCCAGCTCTTAAAGACATTGTATGGTCATGGCAAGGTGATGATGATGAAGACGATGTTACCACAAATGATAATGTTAACACTAATGATAACAAAATAAATAATATTTCATGAGCTGTAATATTTCAATTTTTTTTTTTAATTGGATGTGCGAGAGCGAGACTATCTTATTGTGAAATTGCATATATATAAAAACATTTTTTTATAATTAACAATTTAAAAGTCATTATGTTTTTTTTCTTTGTTCAACAATATAATAATGTATGTAAGATTAAGGGATTAGTATATAACTAAGCATGTATATAAGTTTTTGGTTGCCGCTATATATTCCTCTTATGCATATTGCTATTTCTTTTTCCCCACACGAACTATTAGCTTCTTTATAAATCATTATAAAATCTAACTTTTTTAAAAGATACTCCCTCCGTATTTTAATAATTGTCGTTTTAGGATTTTTATTTTTTTGAATTGGATGTCGTTTTCAAATTTCTATGCAAAATTTATTACTTTTTAATGTTTTATGACATCATAAAACATTAAAAAGTAAGAAATTTTGCATTGAAATTTGAAAACGACATCTAATTTAAAAAAAAAGAAAATCCTAAAACGACACTTATTAAAATACGGAGGGAGTATACAAATTTTTCTCTGTTTATCTAAATTCACATGCCTCCAACTAATCCAGGTAATAACGATGCTAAATCCGATTAAATTATAATTATTATTTCACATTTTACTTGACCCAAATTTAAATCCGCGATCCGATAAAAACCAAACAACGGCGTTTATTTTTCTTATTTAAAAGTTAAAAAGAAAATGAAAAAGGAAATATAAACGAAAACAATTCTTTTTCTCCTCTCGTCCACTTCTAGCCCTCGACAAAATAAGTAAAACCAAACATCCGAATCGAACCAAACCAATCCAAAATTTTGAGGTACTAAAACTGAACGTGTTATGATCCTTTCATGGACAACGTTGACAGACGCAACCAAGATATATGCCTTTATTACCATAATCCCTAAAATATTCACACATGCCGTCGTTAAAATTCTTAGCTTTGCAAGCTTCTTTGCATGCTGGAAGACCGGCACCGTTAGGTCTCATACATAATCCACGTGCAAAAAAATATTGACGTTTGGTACATTTTTCTGATCCAGGCTTTGATTCAGGTGATCTATGTCCTCTTGATATTCCTAATAAATTAGTGATCAATATTTAAAAATTTCATAATCCCTATAATTAAAAATACATATTTGTTTTAATTAGACATTACTAAAAAATAAAAAAATATCTTATATTAAAGGTACTAAATCATTTGTGTTTGACCTATTAGATCTAACCTGTTATAATTTTCTTGTCTCATAATTTGCTTCATTCTTAATCTAGTGATGATGACGACTTAATGAAATGGATATCACGATGATCACTTTCACCACTACTAGCTCCATTTACAATATTTTCTAAATTACTATTCAAATCTTATAAATTTTTCCAACTACACAATATTAATACTACTTAGTTGTATTACTATCATTTATGCATGATTTCACGCGACATCAACGTTGACATATTTGCCATTTATTCAGTAATTAGTCGATCCAAAAAAACATATCGACCTTGACACACAATGATAAAAAAAAAACCATGAAATACTCTGACCCTTCAATTTATTATGCAAATATTTGCATTGATAATCCCATTACATTACTTTTTCAATTTAGATTCAAATTTTAAATCTGTGAAAATAGCATTTTTTGTTTTATTAAATAATATTTTAATTTGAACAGTAAAGGCAAACACAAAATCTAAACTAAAGGAAAGTTTATTTTTTCTTCTTTTAGTTCTACATTAGCTCGTAAATTTTATCAAACATGTTTCATGATATACTTTTTAAAAAAACATAAAATAATAAACAATAGTCAATAATTCAAACACAACAAAGATTTTTATATCATAATGTATATTACCCCTTGTTCAAAAACGCGGGCTCGGCGGCCGTTTAATCGCCGGTTAGGCGCTCGGCGGAGGGCAGCCGCGGCGATTTGGACAAATCGGCCATTAAATCGTAAACATCTAAATAATTCACGTTTACTAGATTTTTAAGCTTGATTTCGAATGTTGGATTATAGATCTATCAAAATTAAGTAAAAACCATAAGATATAAGGTAAATCTAACAAAATTTGGGGGAAAAAAAGTGAGGCGGCGGAAATTAGGGTTGTGAAAGTCACAGACAAAAGGTAGGAGACGAGGGTAATATAGTAGTTTCATATTCATTAACCTGAAAATCGGAAAAAATCATAAATCTGCACATATTAACACTCGAACTCATGACCTGCAGCGCCTTACATGCTCGTGTAACCACTAGACTATGCTATACTCGTATCATTCCCATGCGTATTAAATATATATACCTAAAAAACATCCCCGATTAAATCCCGATTTAAATCCGATTTTCCGATTAATCGCTAGGCCCGCCCTCGCCGCCCGATTAGCGCCTAGCGATTTTTTGAACAAGGATATTACCTGTTAACAACAAGAAAATCATCATACAAGTGATGTAACCAGCGACTTTTACACTTTTACCCATTTTTGCTTTTAGTTTTTGTTCTTAGTTTGATGGAATGCTTACAATACAATCATTTACTTGTTATATTTAAGGATGACTTTTTTCTATAAATAGACAAAATGTAGTCCACAAGTATTCCTATAAAATAATTATAAGAAAATAGAAAATTTACTAGACCACATAAATTTCTCCGATCCTTGTTGTTTATTTTCTTTTATTTTTAGTTAATTTTTTCACATTTCTCTAAATTTATACAAATGCTATATAAAAGATTAGATAATACTGTTGGGGTAAATTTGCGACCAATATTCTTTTCATGACACATGAACAGAAACGAGAACAATGATGACCATGTCAAAAAGGGGATGTTGAAAGGAGCACCTCTACCAGTGTCGTGCCCAAACTTATCGGGACTTAAGGCGAGGTTGAAATTATGGGCCTTTCTAATAAAAATTTTCAAAATTATTTCGAAACGATATAAATTGTTGAAAACAAAACAATATTCTAACTAAGACATACTTTTTTTTTTTTTTTAAATAAATGATAAAAACTTGAAACGACTCATAATCTCCTTCATCACTTTTTTTTATGAACACTAGCATATCTCTTAGGATATTTTTTTTTAAAAAAAAACTAAAACTTTTGATAGTATTTTGAAGTTCTTAGTTTCACCTTTAGGGGTGAGTTCTGTTCTTGTATTCACCCCGTTTAGTTTTAACCAATCATTATGTCATGTTGTATAATATTTAAATAGAATTTAAAAATTAAACAAACAAATAAAATTAATTAAAAAAAATAAAATCATTAGCAAAGATATTAATTTAGTTAACGGCGTCGTCGTTTTCTTCTTAGGTTTTCAAGTTCATTCGATCAAATTGCTTGAAGCATGAATCTTATGACCTAAGACGAAACATGACCGACTACTGTCACTTCATCGTTTTGCTTCGAACTGCATCCATTCTTTCACTCTTCATGAGATTCATCATGCACACCATCAATGCAATCTGAGCAAATAGAACATCATATTAGTATCCAGAAAACTAACCTCATGTGATTAGAGGGAGCAAAGAGTGTTGCAGGATTCTTGAAAGTTCCTATTAGCATTTCATATGAAACACTATCATAATCTCTCTTTCACCTTCCTTTCATCTCTCCCGCATCTTTTATTCATCCTATTGCTGCGACTCTAATTTAAAGGTCCTGATGGTTTTTGGTAAGACCATACCAAACTATATTCATTAGACAATGAAGATTCTTCAATCATATATAGTTCAGATTCTATATCTCATGATCTAATTAGTCTTAGAAAATGGAAACATACATGTGGAGCTAAATGTTTATGATTTCAAAGGCCCATGTGTCGCATTTGCTATGTACAACGTAGATAAGGTCCGTCTCTTTTAGTGTAACTGGTTTTAGTTTATGACAACCATAGTGGTTTTTTGACATGCCAGTCAATTCGAGCTTTTGCTATGTCATCTATGGCAATGGCATTAACTAATACTGTAAATGGCCACTATACTTGAGTACCAAGAACACAATTCTTACGAAACATGATTGTCTAATGAATATAGTTTGGTATGTCACAATTACGAAATATTATACAAGCAATCACCGGAAACTATATGTCACAATTTCCGGTTATTTTTACCATCAGTCTCTATATGCTCTCATGAGCAAAAGTTTTTAAGCGGCAAGCAACTTCTGGATGTCTTTCTGCAAAACAGCCGAAGCAAATACGATTTGGTTACAAGCCACAAACCGCTATGAACCGAATCGGAAGTAGTCCCTTAACTGTACCTCGATTTGGAAAGGGGATGTGGTGGGAGGGTACCTCTCAACGACCTTTCCCTTTTTATCGATCAAAAACTTTTCAAAGTTCCATTTAATGAGACCACCCAAGAATCCTCCTGCGTTTGATTTCAAGAATTCGTAGATGGGCGCTGTGCTTGGTCCATTTACGTCAACCTGTCGGATTTAAACTTTATTCTAATCTGCAACCTAAAAACAAGGGTGAATGTTTTTGGATTATTTATACCTTATCAAATATAGGGAACTCTGCTTTAAACCGGGTGCAAGCAAATTGTTTGATCTCTGAGTTTGACCCGGGCTCTTGGAAACCAAACTGATTGCAGGGAAAAGCTAGAATCTCAAATCCTGTAATCCAAACAAGTTAGTGTTATTAACTACCAATGCATGAAAAATACACGTATATTGGCTTATTGCCCCCTAAATGATTAATGAAAAGATCCGTAATTTCGATAAAATTCTTTTAGCTACGGAGAACGGATGAGTGCGATTATCATCAATCCAACAAAGATGCTGAATTCGCTTGCAGTTCAAAATTGCAGAACAATTCATTTCCATAAATTAAGTTAAAACACAACCTAGTAACATCGCCGTAGTAGGAGCAACAATAGGACCAAATCATATTGACACCAAGAATGATATAAAGATCAACAGAACAATTAACTGAACACAAACCAAGAGGAATTTTCAGTAAGTAACCAAACACCAAAATGCCCAAAAACACACTGAAAAATGAAAGAACCATCAAAATGGGATAATGCTAATACACAAATAAACTCCAAGAACAAGATTAAACAAAAGACCCCCACTGGTTGCAAATCGATTGCAACGAATAGATCAAAACGTGAGAGAGCTAGTTAGAGCTCACCTTGGCTTTTGTATTTCTCGTACAGATGTGAAAGCTCTGAGTAATTTGACGATGTCAAACCACTGTATATTCATGAAAACACAATCTTTAAGCTCAAAAACCTCTACACTAACTATCATCAAAAGCAACTTCTAAAAATCGCATCACAGAGGATGAAGAAGGAGAAGCTTTACCATCTTGAAGCAACATTGACAATCAACATAACTTTCCCCTTAAACTTGTTCAAAGCAACATCTTTCCCATCAATGTCCTACCTCCAAAAAAATAAAAATCCAATTATGTCTCTAATTGAAATCACTATACACTTATGTCTCAAAGTTCAGATTTTTATATACGTCACCATTTGAAATCACTATGAACTTCATTACAAATTTGAAGATTCCAAATTTAGTAAAGAGGAGACAGATTTTAGAGAACCCTAGTTTTTTTGGTCTGAATTGGGTAAAAGAATAAGAACAAAACCTTAACGGTGAAGTCGTGAACGGTCTTTTCTGCAGCAGCTCTAGCTTGAACAGTGAAAGGACGGGACTTGAAGAGAAACCCAGGATTAATCGGAGATTTTAGAGAAAACCCATTACTCAGATTCGCGAAATTCGATATTCCGGTGGAGAATTTGAAGGAAGGGACGAGAAAGGTTGCAGATGAATTAGGTCTGGAAGTGTTGAAGACTGTAGAGAATGGTGTGTATGAAGAAGAAGGAGTAGTCATGGAAACCATTTTGGTTACCGGAGACGAGTTTATGTTTTCGACCAGCGTTCGGTTCAATAGTGAGACCGGCGAGATGATAGTAGCCACACGACGCATTTTATATCATGCCAAAAAACACATTAAAAAAAAAAAAAACCTAATCCTCAATTTTGAATACTAATTTTTTTTTTGAGCCATAGAATGTATTTTTAATAATTTTCTTCACAATTTATTTTTCAAATTCGTTTTGGAGACATAGTTGGATATTTTGCAGAATCCAATTGGAGATATAATTGGATTTGTTTTTATGATTATTGGATATTTTTATATGATTATTTAAATTCTGCAGTATTTTTAATGAAATCACTACAAAATTATATAATTTTATAATTATTTCTATTATTAAAGTTATTTCTATGATATTCTTATAATGAAAGTTTTCTTTCTTATATAATTTCTCAATTTAAATAATTTTTGAATATTTTTGCTTATATAAAAAAATATAAAGTGGGACAAATGAAGTAAATAAGTTGAGTGGTGCAAAATCCACGTTCGTTCCCGAAAGCATTTTGGAATAATTTGAGGCACATATTTAATTGTTACGATATATTTGTTCCTGTCCCAAAAATTAAATGGATTTTGTTTTGGACTATGTTTCATTTTCAAATTTTTGTTTAGTTCTTTGGTTCAATCCTTATCCTAATTATCTGAACCTGGTTTCAAATATGTCGCACTCAAACGAATAGTTCTAATCTAACCGATGGCAATACCTATCCATTATTATTATTTTGTAATACATATTGGAAATGTTCAGCCACAAAAACAAATAGGTTAGGGATATTAAAATGAATAACCCAACTCAATTCAAGTTATTACCTAATAAATTTAGAATTAAATTCAGTTGAGTTAACCCATGAACTCATTTGATTTGATGATTTAAATGATTAAATGGATTGATCCATTAAAATAATAAATTAATTAATTAACTGATAATTACCAGAAAATAATCATCAATAATCTTCTTCTTCATCATCATCATCATCATCATCATCATCATCATCACCATCACCATCATTTGGCAGAAAAATTGCAAAATTACATCTTTTACAGGAAAATTGTAGATTCACTTTTTTTGTGGATTCATATTTTTTTGCATGAAATTGGGGATTCTCGTTATTAGCAGAAAAACTTGGGGATTCCCACTTTTGGCAGAAAATTTATGGATTCATAGTTTTTGGTGGAAAAATTATGGATTTACGTTTTTAAGCGGGAAGATTACGAGTTTACGTTTTTGTCGGGATTCACACTTTTTTTTTCTCTCAAACACCATATATATTAAGTTATCAGAAAGAGACTCTCCGCTAGAAAGAACCATTCAGGAACCGACTTGCTTACATGGGAGAACAAACTAATTCGAGCTCGAGTTTTCTTATCTAAACAATATGCTCGAGTATTAGAACTTCGAGGAAGAAATACTAAAAGAAAGAAAAAAAATAAACTAAAGATCGAAAAGAGGCCAATTCCGCTACAAAGGTTGGCCAATCATCTTGATTATCAAGAAGAGATATCAAGTCAGAACAATCGGAAGCTGTGATGATCGAAAAGAGGCCAATTCCGCTACAAAGGGAGGCCAATCATTTTAAATCTTACTTGAATAACACCAAACTTTAAAATCTATTAGAGTTAGATTTAAAATCATTAGGTTAATAACACTGGATTAGTGTTGGATTTCAATTCTATTAAAATCCATCATTGAATAACACCACCTTAATCTTTTGTCCTTATGGATTTGATTGTACATGACATCTGATCTCAAGTAAATTTCAAGTGGTTGGTTCTGTTCCTTTTCTCGTCCCGATCGAGTTTCTTCTCCTAATCTCCAGAATCTGTTCTTAAAGATCTCAAAAGTCTCTTCCTTTTTCTTCATTTCTCTACCCAGATATGTAAGTTTGCTAGCTTCTTCTGTCATAACTTTAATATCTGAATCTTTTTTCGATCCAAATAGTCAAATATTCGCATCTAGGTCAAATCAATTCAAACCCTTTTTTTAGATTGATGTGTTGAGTACTTCTGAGTTGATTAAGTCTATGAGAATGGTTTGTGTAAGATTCTGATTGGTTCAAGTTGAGTAGTTTTCAGTTGATTAGGTCCACTGTGTGATTCATGGACACGTTTATGAGGAAAAGATTAGATTGTGTAAGATTCTGATTGGTTTGATGGTTTCAAGTTAGTTTCTTTCTTGATTTTTATTGCTGAGTAGTTCTAAGTTGATTAGGTCAACTGTGAATCATGTACAAGTCTATGAGCTAGAAATGAATTGTGTAAGATTCTGAATTTGTGGAGCCAAAAGAATGATGTTGTTTTTTTGGCAGAAAGCGATGGGTACATACCTAAGTTCTCCTAAAACTGATAAGTTATCAGAAGATGGTGAGAATGATAATCTCAGATATGGTTTATCGTCTATGCAAGGTTGGCGCGCTACCATGGAAGATGCGGTGAGTCAAACATAAATTTATTTGCTTCTTGTTGATCATACCTGACAAGCTTAATCTTGCTTGAATTGTAGCATGCTGCAATTCTTGATCTGGATGATAAGACGTCGTTCTTCGGTGTGTACGATGGGCATGGAGGTAAGACACTATTGTCTCTACTCCTAAATCATTATCTAGTTCAGGTGAATTGAATTTAGATTCTTTTTTAGTTGGTGTTACACGAATCAGATAGAATTTGAAAGCCGACAATGCTAAATCGAATGAATGATAAGGGAAAAGAAGTTCTTCTTTTGGTTCTTGACCATTGCAAAGATTTAGAACTGTTGATTACATCTGTGTATTTTTCGATGTTTCGTTCTTTACTTTCCCTTTGGATATGCAACTCAAAGTAATATCTACTAAAATGGCGTAGGTAAAGTCGTTGCAAAGTTCTGTGCCAAGTATCTACACCAGCAGGTTATCAGTAATGAAGCATATAAAGCTGGAGACGTAGAAACATCTCTTCGAAGAGCATTTTTTAGGTTTCATTTTCTCTTTTTGACATATTTGTATAGTAATTTACTTTTACAACAAAAGAGGGTTCCACTAAAAAGCGTTACATTGTGAATATTGTAGAATGGATGACATGATGCAAGGACAAAGAGGATGGCGAGAGTTAGCTGTACTCGGTGACAAGATGAATAAATTTAGCGGCATGATTGAAGGATTTATATGGTCACCAAGAAGCGGTGACACCAATAACCAGCCCGATAATTGGCCTCTTGAGGATGTAAATTGTTCATATACCTGCTTTACTTGGCTTTTTCCATATTCTGTACACGATTGAGTTGGGACCTCTGACCCGTACCTTCGTTCTTTTACAGGGTCCTCATTCTGATTTCACGGGACCTACTTCGGGGTGCACAGCATGCGTAGCTCTTATTAAAGATAAGAAGCTCTTTGTTGCAAATGCCGGTGACTCACGTTGTGTGATATCAAGAAAGAGTCAGGCTTACAATCTTTCTAAAGATCACAAGCCTGATCTTGAAGTTGAAAAAGAAAGGATATTGAAAGCTGGTGGCTTTATTCACGCTGGTCGAATCAATGGAAGCTTGAATCTGACAAGAGCCATTGGTAAGCTTTATCTTTATGCTTCCACTTTCATTCCTTAAAAATTCTTATTTGACTTGTAATCTTGATCGAAGCATCGTTCCTGCTTCTTTACAGGTGATATGGAATTCAAGCAGAATAAGTTCTTACCATCTGAAAAGCAAATGGTTACTGCTGATCCCGATATAAACACTGTAAGAATCTTAACTTTTTTAGTATCTTCCGCTCGAGTTTGTTTATTTGAGCTGACTTGTTATTGTTTCCTCTCATCAGATTGACCTATGTGATGATGATGATTTTCTTGTTGTTGCATGTGATGGAATATGGTAAAAAAAATGTCACTAATTATGTCATTTTCTACATATAAGTTAGTTTCTTGATGATAATTTGAATTCATCTTATCTTCCTCAGGGATTGTATGTCAAGCCAGGAACTAGTGGATTTTATCCATGAACAGTTAAAATCTGTATGTTAAGCCTTTTCCTTCTCTCTCTACTATTACAGTTTTTGTTCCTGTCTTGGTCTTGTAACATTGGTATAAACTTTCAGGAAACAAAACTTTCCACGGTATGCGAAAAAGTTGTTGATAAATGTTTGGCTCCAGACACTACGAGTGGAGAAGGTTGTGATAATATGACCATCATCTTGGTTCAGTTCAAGAAGCCTAACCCATCCGAGACTGAACCAGAAGAATCCAAACCAGAACCAAGCGAAGATGAGCCGAGCTCTTCAAGCTAGATATCCTTAAAGAGCCAAGATTTGTGAAAGTCTCTTTTATCACTGACTTCTATTAAACGTTGTAAATCCTTTTGAATGGCTTAGATTCAAGAAGCTGGCGTTTTCTTGGGATTTCAGCTTTTCCTCAGCCTAGCTTCAAGAAGTCTGAAAATGTCACAGAGTTTGGTTTAATCAAAAACGACTTAGTATATAGATCTCTTGCGATTGATAGTTTCAAATTCACAAGGACAAGCTTCTTCATACTTTTTGTATAAACATCATGAGATTTGTTTTGTTGTCTTCATCAAAATTTGCTTATTATTTTTCTTGGAGCTTTCATATTTCATAATCTTTTCTATTTCATGGCCAATAATATCTTCTAGAATTTTTTGTTTCTTTAATTTTTTTAGTCAATTTTGTGACAATCTTGAGAAATAATAATAAATTGAATTGTAATAAAATAGTAGCAAAGAGCCAAGGACAAAGATCTCTTAGCTAAACAACACAACATGTAATTCTAAAAAGCAATCTCATCACATGGTTCCAAATCAGAACCAAGCCAATAGACCAAGAACAAGACCTAACACAACATATAGACTACCACCAAGCCTAACTGAGCCACTGGTTGGAGCTGGAGCCAAAGCTGGACCATCTTCGAACTCAACCGGAGAAGGAGCCGGAGAGATAGCACTGTGACGAGGACTGATCACAACAAGGCTCAGCTTCTGACCTTTCTCACAGTGACCATTAGCTCCACTAATGAAGTAGAAAGGACCAGACCTGTCCAATTTCACTTTGGTTTCTCCATCGGTGTAGTTAGCCAAAGGGTTCGTGGTATTGCAGCTGTTGTAAGCTTCTTTAGTTACTTCCAAAACCGAGTCTTTACCAGATTCGTACCGGAAAACTGAAAAAAAGACAAGTGATTATGTCAGAAACAGAGCATCTTGGAAGAAAACAGAGTCTAATAGTCAGAAACAGAGTACTTAATGGTGGGTACCAATAAAGTCGCCGACTTTGAAGCGAGCTTTTTGAGCCCACTCGGTGAATGAGGGATCTTCCAGTCACCGGATTTTCCACCGACGGTGACTTCATTTGCAGCGGCGAGAGAGAATAAGAAGATGAAGGAAAAGATAGAAACGATAAGCGAAGAAGAAGCCATAGATTGAAAATGTTACTAAGAAAAAGATTTAGGTTTTTGGGGTTTAGTGTTAGGAATGTTGTTTTGGAGATTGTGGAGTTTCTTGAGACGGTTTTATAGTGGTGAAAATTCGAAAACTAGCCGTTAGATTATTTACTTTTTTGTTTTGTTGTGAAAGAAAAGAATTATGAAAAGGTAAAGAAATGTAAAATGTTGTTACTGTAGCCGTTGTGAGTGATGTAACCGTTAGAGAAAATTTGAAACAATGTAATTATGGATACTGACATGTGTAGTGTGTGTCAGCCAAAGCTATGAGTGTTTCTAGTTTTTTTTTTTTTTCGTCTAAAGGATTTCATTGATAGAATGCGATTGAGTTATACAAAGCCGACAAGGAACGAAATCCTTTCGGAGACAAAACCGGCGGGTACATAGAAACCCCCAGAAACTTAAGGCCAAAAGAGGCGGACAAACATAACAAGCCTAAGAACATAAGATACAAAGATAACTACTAAAGGAATAATAGCTAAAGCCTCCAAAGCAACAACACTTAAAACTCTTCCCTACAAGCAGTCGACTAGCACTTCCATAGAACAGTTTGGCGCTGAGGAGAGGCAACAGACAGGAGCCTCGAAAAGAACCGAGCTCACACAACCATCTCCACAGCAGAAACGAAGACGATGAGGCAAGAAGAACAGAACACAGAACCAAACCTCCACAACCACTATAGAGCCAAAGAAAGTGAGAAGGCAAAGGATCAAGGAGAAACCTTGAGATCCGAGAGGGGAAACGCCAATTAGAACCACTTATCCTTACACACGGACCTTCGTAGACCCAGCCAAAGCCACCTACGAACTAAAAACTGGTTACGCCACGCAAAGAGAAGGACAAAAGGTCGACCCACCATAACGTCCAGAACTCAGCCGAGAACCAAAAGAGGTTCCAAGAGAGAGCTAGTAGATGCCATTATAGAAAGCAAGCATCCGAATGAAGAACCCACAAACAGAACCTTACACCAAAACACCACACCGGAAACCAAGAGGAGGACAGAGAGAAGGCAGAGCTAGGAGTCAAACAAGCCTACCCTAAAGCAGAACCTAAGGCTTCACAACACAATAAGTCGAATAACATGCAAACACAAACCCTAGAAGACACTCAAACTCACCTACCGAGGAAGAAACCACAAAAATGAGGCCGTTGCTGCAAAACCAATGGGAACGTCAGAAACAATTCATGGAAACGAAACGCCGGCCAAATACACGCCTCGCACGAGACAGCACCACCGCAAAGCCAACATAAAATCCAAGAACAGAGTTCTTTAGATCCACCACAGAACCAGCCGGAGCATAATACAAACCGACACCGACTCCCAATCCAACGAGAACAAAGCCAACGCAAGCAGATTGTCAAGACAGTAGAAACAAAATGGAAACCTTTAACCTCCAAAACCAGATCGGAGAAAAGAGACAGATCCACCGGGGAACAGATCCGTCAAGAACAACACCAATCCGCCACCCATCCTCCATGATAGTCACCACGACGGAACGAACTACCAAACACGGGAGGAAGAGACAAAGGGAGGAGAAGACGAGACTAGGGTTTGAGAAGCAAGCAAGACACCACAGAACTACAACTAAGAGAAGAAACTGAAACTACTATGACCGGGACCGGCGACGGTGCTATGGAAGCCACCAATCACCGGCCAAGCGAGGAAGAAGAAAGGCTTGACGGCTAGGGCGAACTGGGGAAGCGAGAGAGAAAAAGATGAGTTTTTCTCAGTTCTAAGAACAGAGTGTGGATCCCCTTGATGAGTGTTTCTAGTTGTCTCGCTTTTAATTTTGAACGAAATAAGTAGTTCGTAAATTTCAAGACTATGTGAATTCTATTTGGTGATGGTGATGTTTGGGTATTGGCCCTACCTTTATAATTTCGAATATATTGATGTGTTCAATTCCGGCCCAATAGATTTCTTGGCCCAAAGCGAATATAAATTTTCAAACTTTTCCTTTTATTTTTTTTTTATAAATTTGTGCACAATTATATTTTAAAGAGATATAAAAAAAAAAACCTCCCAAACACAAACTCCCGAAGGTCTCAGTTACTTTTTTTTTTATCTTCCTAGGACTTTCTCTCTCTCTTCTCTCTCTAAAACCTTTTAGAGATGAGAGAAAGCTTTTCCCGACCAGATTTCTTCTGGATTTTGCTGTCCTGATTTAGTCAGGCTTTCCGTCCAGTATCTCCAGCTTCCATGGTGGTGATGGCTGGCTCTATGTCTGGCAACGTCCTGCTTCTTTAAGCAGCGTTGGCCAGCTTTGATGTTTTATCTTGCCGTCCGGTGAATCCGGCTCGTGTCACGGTTTTTTTGTGCCGTGGTTTTCTTTCTGCTTTTGAATAATCTTCGCAAGGGTTTGGGTTATCTGTTAGATGACTTTTTACTTGTTTAGATGCGGATTTCTTTAGTTTTGTTTTTTCAAATCGGTGGTTTACAAAATCAATTAAAAGATGTTGGTTTCTGAGGATGCTTAAAAGAAGATTTGTATTTTCTTGGCAAATTAAGATTGCCTTTTCGCCGTTTTTCATGTTAATCGAAACTTCGATGTGTTTGTAATCAGATTGGATTCTCATATCTTCAACCTCTTTTACCTGCTTTCGCCGAATCTCAATTTTATTGATGATATTGGCAAGTAGTTGAGATTGATGTTTGGTGAATCCTTTCTTTAACTGATTTTGCAGTTTCATGGTGGAAAAAAGAAGAATCAATGCTTGTGAGTTTTCCGGCATAAAATTCTTTCACCGGAATCGAAGTTCAGCGGCAAAGGATGATGGAAAGCGTAACATCCTTCTCTCGCAACACGTGTCTTTGTTGCTTCTTACTGTCTAACACGTGACTGAGTGAAGATATCTCTTCTTCTTCCTTGGTGTATCATTGACTGGGCTTTTCATGGGCCTGCTTAAACTTGTAAACCTATTTTGTACTCGTTGATGTATGTTTTGTCTGATATCAATAAAATCCAGAGGAAAAAAAAATTTTTTTTTAAAGAGATAGTTTTTTTACTAAGTGCTAAAACCAATTGACCAAATAATTTTTTTTCCATTTTTTTATTTATTAGAATAAGACATAAGACATAAGGGATTTAGTTCAACTTTAGCATGATCGATCCTAGAATGGCTCATCAGTTATTAGGAATGTGGCCTAACTTAACCCAAAAGCTAGCTCAAGAGTTAAGGATTGCCACATTCTTTATATACTACCCAAAGATCTTAATCCCAAGCAATGTGGGACATTCTAATATCAGTTTTTACCAACAATGCATAAACTCATTTGCTCAAATGATAATCCGTTTGTGCAAGGTTTGACACCAATTAAAACTATTTAAATGCATAGATGATATGTTTAGCGACAAACCCATAAACTAGAGTTTTGTTTAGGTGAATTTGGTCTGTGTAATCATAGAGAAGTGATTCAAAGACTTGGTTCTTAAGGGCATTATTCTCACGATTGAGCATCATGGACTCACAACGTACTTCGAAATACCAAGTATATCGTCGATTTGTTTCAAAGTATCTATAATAAACCTTAATTTACATATTGTGGTTGAATTAATAGCTAAATATATATCCGTAACAAATATTCTTTTATTTCACAAAAAATGTCATTTTAATATGTTTCACACCATTTTTTCATAAAAACTATGGAAATTTCTACTATATCTTTTATAAATACTCATAAGAATTTTTTTTCGAATTAATAAGTTGAAATAACAATGATAAAAATAGATATAGTCTTAAAAATTGCAATAAAAATACTGTGAAATAAAAGTAAAACTTTAAAACGATATTTTTTTCGTGACATGTAGATAATATATAAGTATAGAACTATTAAAATAGTATTTTTTTTTCTTAATAACTTAGAAACAAACTATGATATCTAAGTGTGTACTCATTCAAAGATTAATTCAATTTTTTAAATGAAGTGATGGCCAAAAACAATTAATAACAATTCCGAGTTTAGGAAAGAAAATAAAGCAAATCTTAAATAACTCAAAAAAGAATATTGGAAGACATGTATCATAGTCCTAAACAAAGTAATAGATCTTTGGGTCCTCCTTTCTTTTTTTTCTCCCTTCTATCTGAAATCCGACATCCTCAATCTCTGTCTCAATTTCTCCATAGCTATATCATCTTCTTCTTGGTCATAGAATCAGAGATAAACTTTATAAAAAAACCCTAGTTTCTCTTTTCACATGAAAACCTAACTCTCTCTTTCTCTCTCTCTCTGCATCATTTCTTCTTTCGCATGTGCAGAGCTATCAAACATCTGTTTTGATTGAAAGCTAAGTTTCCAATTCCAAAACGGAAGAAATTGAAAGTGTGTGTGTCAAGACAAACCACCAAACTACAAAAGAAACAAAACCCACATCGCATTGTTCCTTAAAGACCCAGCAACAAGATTATCTCACGCTTCCCTCTTTCTTCCTGACATTTTTCTCGTTTTTGTTTTCTTGTTATTTGGGGTTTTTTCTCCAATGTGGGTCGCTTTTGGTGATAAGTGATTATTTCTAGGGATTGTGTGACCTTTTCTTTTTTGGGTCAAGCATTTAAAGAAACCTCTCAATGGCGTTGTTTAGAAAGTTCTTTCATAGAAAACCTCCTGAAGGGTTGCTTGAGATCTCTGAGAGGGTTTACGGTATGTTCTTCCTTCTTTTAAGTATTGGGTTTAGGGTTTGCTCTTCTTTGGGATTTGGAGTATTAATTTATAGAAAGTTTGAGTTTTTAGGTCTTAAAGATCAGATTTTTAGAGTTATGCTTGCCTAAGTTTATAGTGTAGTGTTCTGTTTTAGTTTCTAGTTCTTGTTAGGCTTGTTGATTTAACTGAATCTAACATTTGATAGCTTAATATATTTCGTTCTTGATGGTTGAGATTTAGCTCATGAATAGATTTTTCAGGTTTTGTATGTTCACTGTGTTGCATTACTTCTCAAATTCTTTTGCTTGCCTTATGCCTGCCTAAGTTTAAAGTGTAGTGTCCTGTGATTGAACTGAATCTAACATTTGATAGCTTAAGATTCTTGTGGGTGAGATTTAGTTCATGGATTCTGTTAACTATCCATGAGCTAAGGCTCAGGTTAAGGCTCATTGATTGAACTAGTCTAGCAATTGATAGCTTAAGATGTCTCATTCTCAAAGAATTGTCAGGAAACAGTTTCTTTTGTATGTTCACTTGGTTGCATGATTTCTCAAAAAATTTTGATTGTCTTATCTCATGCTCTTGAGTAGCTCTGAGAAATAGACCCTTTCAGTGAAAAAGATACAAAAGATTACTCTATAAGGTTGCTGAACTTTGATGTTTATATTACAGTCTTTGATTGCTGCTTAACCACGGATATGTTGGAAGATGAAGATTACAGAGTTTATGTGGGCCGCATAATGAGTCAGCTAAGAGAACAGTTTCCCGGTGCATCATTCATGGTGTTTAATTTCCGGGATGGAGGTAGCAGAAGCCGGATGGAGAGTGTACTTACTGAGTATGACATGACTATCATGGACTATCCTCGCCATTATGAAGGTTGCCCTTTGCTTACAATGGAAACGGTTCATCACTTTCTAAAATCAGCTGAAAGTTGGTTATTGTTAAGTCAACAGAATATCTTATTGTCACACTGTGAGCTTGGTGGCTGGCCGACTTTAGCTTTTATGCTTGCTTCGCTCTTGTTATACCGCAAACAGTTTAGTGGAGAACAGAAAACACTGGAGATGATATATAAGCAGGCTCCTCGTGAGTTATTACAGCTAATGTCTCCACTAAATCCGCTGCCTTCACAATTGAGGTTTCTTCAGTATATTTCGAGAAGGAATGTTGGGTCACAGTGGCCACCGCTAGATCGTGCTCTTACATTAGACTGTGTCAATCTTAGACTGATTCCTGATTTTGACGGTGAGGGTGGTTGCAGACCTATATTCAGAATATATGGTCAAGATCCTTTTATGGCTTCCGATCGGACTTCAAAAGTTCTTTTCTCGATGCCTAAAAGAAGCAAAGCTGTTCGACAATATAAGCAGGTGATACCAATACTTTTATCATTGATGTGTTCATTCATTCAGACTCTTCCCAGTATCAGAGAGTTACGATAGTCCTAACTTTTTGTCTACTGTTGCAGGCAGATTGTGAGCTGGTAAAGATTGACATCCATTGCCATATTCTCGGTGATGTCGTGCTAGAGTGCATTACCCTAGGTAGTGATCTTGAGAGGGAAGAGATGATGTTTCGGGTTGTGTTCAATACTGCATTTCTTAGATCAAACATTCTAACACTTAAACGTGATGAGATTGATGTACTGTGGAACACAACGGATCGCTTTCCCAAAGATTTCAGTGCAGAGGTGACTATTTATCTTCTCTTTCTTTAATAATTATGCTAATTTTGGTTTCCCAGTTAAAAGAGTTGCCTGTTGTCCAATCTTTAAATGGTCAGTTCCGGTGAGCTTAGAATTAAACTAGTCATTTTTCTCGAAGTAGTTTGTCTAATACATCTCTCCGAGTCAAGAATTTCGTGCATTTTATACATTTGGTTCCCCAATTAAAGGTTTCACCTTATTTTACGAGCCGTTAAAGATTAATATTAGCGAGTTCAGTTTTGAGCCTGGCATATCTGTTAAAAGCATTTTATGTTATACATAGCTAATTGTCTTTCCAAGTCAAGAAATGAGTAACATTCTGTGTTTGTTCAGGTTATATTTTCGGAGATGGGTGCTGGTAAAAATCTAGTCGCTGTTGATCTGCCGCAGATGGAGGAAAAAGATGTTCTACCTATGGAAGCATTTGCTAAGGTTCAGGAGATTTTTAGTGAAGCTGAATGGTTGGATCCAAATTCTGATGTTGCTGTGACTGTTTTCAACCAAATAACAGCAGCAAATATCCTTCAAGAAAGCTTGGATTCAGGGTCTCCTCGAAGCCCTGACTCACGTAGCCTATTGGAATCGGCCCTTGAGAAAGTTAAGGAGAAAACCAAGTTGATGATATCGGAAAATATTGTTGCAAGTCCTGATGCATCCTCTCCTGAATGGAAAGAGAAAGATACAGTGTCCTCTCATAAATCTTATGCAGATCCGAATTCAATCCTTAAAAAGGTTGATGAATCGCATGGACTTCGGGTTTCAGTCCAAAGAAATGTCCACCCGAAGATAATTTCACCTCGAGTAGTCCAAAGTCCAGTAACATCACCACTTCCAAACCGTACTCCCACACAAGGATCGCCCGCTTCAGTATCCAGGTTTCACAGCTCCCCCTCTAGCCTTGGGATCACTTCAATATTACACGATCATGGTACATGTAAAGGTGAAGAGTCTACTTCATCATCACCAGCCTCACCTTCGATTGCGTTTTTACCAACATTGCATCCGCTACCCAAAAAAGCTTCTCCACAAGTTCCACAGTCGCCCACACCTGTTTGTTCAAATGGCCCTCCTTCAGCAGAAGCAGCAGTGACGTCACCACCATTGCCACTACTGAAGCCACTTAGGATTTTGTCTACTCCACCTCCACCCCCACCCCCACCTCCCATATCCTCTCTGCGTTCCACTCCTTCACCAAGTTCCACCAGCAGTTCCATAGCAACACAAGGGCCTCCTCCACCTCCACCTCCACCTCCACCTCATCTACAACCTCAGCGTTCTGCACATTCATCTTCTCCACTGCCACCACCTTTACCTCCAAAGAAAGTGTTAGCTACAACTAATCCTCCACCTCCACCACCACCACCTTTGCATTCTAATTCTACGGGAGTCCCCACGAGTTCTTTGGTGGTGAAATCTCCTCCTGTTCCTCCTCCACCAGCCCCTGCACCTCTGTCTCGCTCTCATAATGGCGATGGTAATGGAAATATTCCTCCAGTCCCTGGACCACCATTGGGTTTAAAGGGGCGTGGGATTTTACAGAATCTTAGAGGTCAGGGTCAAACGAGAAAGGCCAACTTGAAACCGTATCATTGGTTAAAGCTTACTAGGGCAGTGCAAGGAAGTTTATGGGCTGAAGCGCAGAAATCTGATGAAGCTGCAACGTATGATTAATATCTTCAATATTAACTTAATACAGTTTGTGATTTGTTTTATTATGCTAATTCCAGCATCTTCTTATTGTGTCTTTTGAATTCCAGTGCTCCAGATTTTGACATCTCTGAGCTTGAGAAACTCTTCTCAGCAGTGAATCTTAGCTCTGACAATGAAAGTAAAGGTGGGAAATCAGGTCGACGTGCCCGACCTAAAGTTGAGAAAGTGCAGCTGGTAATTGATTGCAATGAGCATTCTACTGTTCCCAAATTTCTTAAATCTTATAATTTTCGAGGTTTCAAAGTATGAAATTAAGATTCATTGACAGTTACTCTATTTTCGTCCTCTAACTTTGTCTATTAGTTTTGCAGATTGAGCTCAGACGAGCATACAACTGTGAGATCATGCTCTCTAAAGTTAAAATACCTTTGCCTGATTTGATGGTAAGCACACAGATTTTTCTTGCTAGATATCGCTTGGCTAGGTCTTGACTTGGTCTCTATCTTAAGCTCCACTGCTCGGTCAATGCAGACTTTAATCTGCTCTCATCTTGTTATGCAAGAGCTGTTTAAAATTTTCTTACCTGGATGATCTTTGGTTACAGAGTTCTGTTCTTGCTTTGGATGAGTCAGTGATAGATGTTGATCAAGTTGACAATCTAATAAAGTTTTGTCCAACGAAAGAAGAAGCAGAATTGCTCAAGGTATTTTTATTTCTGGTTCTTATCTAAAAGTTTTCTGCTTTACGAAAATTTAGAAGTTATTATCATCCGGCAATAGCTTATTTTTTTGAGTAAACTGGTGCTAGATCTCATGTCTTGGTTTTCTTGCTTTCCGTAGGGCTTCACTGGAAATAAGGAAACTTTGGGACGGTGTGAGCAGGTTAGTCGAGTGCTCCACTTTCATATTTGAACAATCTTCTGAGTGTTCCTTTTCGAGTTTCTAGGACCATTCTCGTATTTCTTGGCTGACCAACCATCATTCCTTCTAAGCGGATGAAATGTCAATAAACCAACCAAAACAAAATACAAATGAACAATCTTAGAGATGTGCACATAAATAGTCAGAACTATTCTTAACTTACTGATTTCCTGATTTTGTTTTAGGTCGAAACCAAATAGCATTTCTTGTTTAAGCTGGGAGTAATACCTTATTAAAATTTCACTTTCATCTCCCGTTTATGTACTGACAGCTATTTTTTTTTAATTTTTCTGGTGATAGTTCTTTTTAGAACTGCTGAAAGTTCCTCGAGTGGAAACCAAGCTAAGGGTTTTCTCATTCAAGATTCAGTTTCACTCCCAGGTAGGAGAATCGACTGGAGTTTGTATTTTTTTGTAATGCTTTCTAGTTTCTAATAACCTGGATCTTATATCAGTAAATGGTTGCTATCCTTCAGGTTACTGATCTTAGAAGAGGTTTGAATACCATACATCGTGCAGCCAATGAGGCAAGTCGATTTTTCGTGCAAATAGTCTGTGAACCACATATATTCATGTTGGTGATTTTCCATTCTGACTCTACTGCATGTTACACTTTCTAGGTTAGAGGCTCGGCTAAACTAAAAAGAATCATGCAAACTATACTTTCCTTGGGAAATGCATTGAACCACGGGACTGCAAGGGGTGAGCATATATCTATTATCGTTAGACTGCAAAATAGTATTTATCTTAAAGAGAGACATTGGTTGTATTCAAGCATTTGAATTCGCTTCTGCATTGTTTTTTATATATTTCTTCTCTTTTGACAGGCTCAGCTATCGGGTTTCGCCTGGATAGTCTTCTGAAACTTACTGACACTAGATCCCGTAACAGTAAGATGACTCTGATGCACTATCTCTGTAAGGTATGAGATTTTTCAATCGTCTCCAACTCTTTTTTTTTTTTTTTGGGTTAATGTTAAAATCTCTTTGCTCTTAACTAGTATACTATATTCTACTATATCTTTGTATGTTATGCTAACGGTTTCTTCTCACAACAACATTTTCATGCTTGTACTTTCAGGTGCTTGCCGAGAAACTTCCAGAGCTACTTGATTTTCCAAAAGACCTGGTGAGCTTGGAGGCTGCAACAAAGGTACCATTTTTTTCTTCAACTCAGCGTTTAAGATAAACACATCAATTCACTTTGTGCCTTTGGTGATAATCTATCTGCAAACATTCCTTGGTGGTAGATTCAACTAAAATACCTGGCAGAGGAGATGCAAGCAATTAGCAAAGGGTTGGAGAAAGTTGTACAAGAGTTTACTGCATCTGAAACTGATGGTCAAATATCAAAACACTTTCGTATGGTAAGCTAAATTAGATACTCAAGAACCTTGTTTCGTTATTGATTGCTCGTGTTTCATCATCTGCTTACACTTCTACTTGTGTTTATGCAGAACTTGAAAGAGTTTCTTAGCTTTGCTGAAGGAGAAGTAAGGTCCTTGGCTTCTCTCTATTCAACTGTGGTAAGAATTCTTTGCCCCCCTGCCTTCTCCCTGTCTTTATTACTTTTCTGAAGCGTCTTACCGTGGTAAAGATTCTTTGGCGTTACTAGTATTGAGCTGTGTTTTCTCATGGTATTATTAGGGTGGAAGCGCCGATGCATTGGCATTATACTTTGGAGAAGATCCTGCTCGTGTCCCATTTGAGCAAGGTAACAATTTAATGCAAACTCACTAATATTGTTCCTTCTCTTCTTACATCTTGTTTTCTATACATTATCTCCATTTGGTTTTCGGAGTTCTGTCCTTTCTGTCCCTGACCTAAGATAAACCAAAATCCTTGCGTTTGATTTGAATCTGCAGTTGTATCCACTCTGCAAAACTTTGTTAGAATATTTGTGCGGTCACATGAGGAAAACTGCAAGCAAGTCGAGTTTGAGAAGAAGAGAGCACAGAAGGAAGCAGAGAACGAAAAACTTAAGAAAGGTGTGTACAATGAGAATTGAAACACAACTGCACACAAAAAAGAATGTTGTTCTCTACTCTCGCTCGACCTCCTTGAGTAGCCTCTGGCAGTCCCGGGCGCCGGAAAGTAGATGTTGCAGCTCCTAGTTCAGGGATTTTATCCAAAGTTCCCAGATTTAGTCTTTTAGATTAGAAGATTAAGGAGGAAACTTTGTTCCTCTGGTAGGTATCAAGAAGAAGAAAAAAAGCTGGAATGCGGCGATTAGGTAATGCAGTCGAAGATTTAGCTCTGTGTTTTAATGGAGATAGTATTAGATAGTCACTAATGCAAGAGTTTGAGTCCCTTCCTGGTTTAATACAGAAACAGAAATGTAACTTCTTGTGTATAAAGTTTTGGGAGCGATAAAGAGAGATGTGTAAATATTGAGTGAGTTTGCGTGTGTGTCTTCTTATCAACATTTACGATTTTACATCCAATGATATATTGACAAAGATTGATAAAACAAAACAAAACACATAAACGTAAACATAAACAATAGTCTTTTTTCTGATGTATCCAAGTATATTAGAGATTCATGTTGATCTATGGATGTAAATGTTCTAAAATTTGATCAAAATGTTTACTAAATACCATTTTACTGAAAAATATATAATATCGGTCATAGACTTTGAAGCTTTATAATACCTAAAAAGAATCTAAAATAAATAAATAAGTTGATAAATGAACAGAAGAAACATAAATTACGTATATAAGTAAAATTGGGTTGAAAAGGATTTACCAAAATGTTTTGTCAAAACTATTTCACAATTTAATCAGTTACATCTTACATGATTGATTGATTTATTTTATAGTCGTATATTTATGACGTTAACCCAATTATAAATCGCACTTTGGAGAATTTTAATAAAATTATATTTTCAAAATAAATAAATTAGTTAGAACAATATAATATAACATTAAACACATGCAACACATGGGTCGATTTCGCGTATTTAATATGACGATCTATAATTATTTTGATTTATTATTTATAAGCTCTGTTTAATAGGTGTGACAGTGTGAAAATTTTTTTGCAGGCTCTAAGATCCAGTTAAAAAAAAATCTTATACAACAAATTCCAATTTTAGAGAAACAATTAGAAAAATCCCAAAAATTGAAACTTTTAACTTAATTGATATAATGAGTACCCAATTTGTTTTTTTTTTTGTCTTTAGGCTTGTAGTTTTATTGGATTGGCCATAATTTGTTTTACTTAGGTTTACCTTGGTTAAGTATATAAGGTTCTCGACTCCGTGATTTTTTTTTCAACTTCAGCAGCCCCGCAACAGTTTAGGCAAAAATCGAAGAAGGGATATCGAAATCTATTATGCATTCACAATGTATGTTGAAATGAAAATATGTTTTAAGATTTCTCTATTCATTTGATTTTCACATTGTTTTCAAATATTTGAATAACTTTATGAGCTCATGTGATCATAGTAATTATATCATCTTCTTCTCTCTCTCTTTTTTTTTTTTTCTTTTCTCGAAGGTTCTTTTGTAATTTTTTTAGCTTTTAGGATTAGATCATTATACTTTTATGTTGGAAAAACCATAAGGTTGGTAATAAAATGTGTATGGGATTATGTTCAATGAAAATGTGTATGAGATTTTAGTCACATCAATAAAGAGATTTTCAATTTGATTAAAAGATTTCAAAGTATAATCTCTTTTTGTGAACACCAATCAAACAACAGTCCTTTTCTCATCCAAGTTAGATAAATCAAATCAAGAGCTTTCTAAATTTGTTAGATAAATCTAACTTGGAAATAAAACCATTTTATCTTGTCATAGTATCAAGTATTAATTAATTGAGATTATACTCTTAGCATTACATATATCACATGTAATAATTTATAATACAGTTTATATATATGCACATCACCTTGAAAATGTTTCTGTTAAAAGAAAAAGATAATTTAGATGGTAAAAAAAATATTGTTAGATGGTAAAAATATGTCATCTCAAAAATTATTGAAAATGATTATGTGTCCATGTTGGACAGATAGTTTTGTACTAATATGCGTATAACTTTTGGGCTTTATGTTTATGTGGGATTTAGGCTATACATAGAATGTTTACCCTAAACCTAATTTTATTTATTTTTAATCGCCGTTTTTACTATGCGTTCTTCTGTGTATTGATAATCTCAAAATTTGGTATTCGACGGAGCTTTAACCATTGAAATTTCTAAATCTTTTCATGGTGAGTAAATTCTCTCTTAAATTACGGATATACTATTATCTAGATTAATTCTCTTTCCGAATTTGGAATATCTTAAACTTACACTTTTGTTGGTAATAGAATTGTATATATCTTAAATAATTGAATCTCACTACACATGTGATATATCAAGAATCTATTACCAACAAAAATGTGAATTTAAGATATTCCAAGTTCTCAAAGAGAACTAATCTAGATAATAGTGTATCATGTAATTTAAGAGAGAATTACTTACCATGAATAGATTTAAGAAATTTCAATGGTTAAAGCTCCTCCGAAGACCAAATTTTGAGATTATCAATTCATAGAAGAACGCAGAGTAAAAGAGGCGAGTAAAAATAAATAAAATTAGGTTTTAGGGTACACAATAGATGTATACGCTTCTATGTAGAATATATATCTTTATGGATAGCCCAAAGCCCACATACATAAACTCCTAAACTTATACGAATATTAGTACAAAACTATATGTCCAGCATAGACACATCATCATTTTCAATAATTTTTGAAATGACATATGTTTACCATCTAATAATATATAGTATTTTTAACCATCTAAATTACTTTTTTCTTTAAACAGAAACATTTTCAAGGTATTGTGCATATATATAAAGTAGTAGAAATAATTACTAATGTTATATATGTAATGCGAAGAGTATAATCCCAATTAAGTAATACTTGATACTATGATAAGATTAAATGGTTTTATAAGACAGTTCTGTTTTTCTTTTAGTGTGGATCGAGCTAGCGGTTTGACCGCTAACTAGATTGGTGAATATGTTGGGTTATATAAATCCAAGAGTTTCTGAACCAGATTTAAAAATACTTTAAAACCGTAAAACAATCTAGTGAATCTTGTATAATAATGTTTTTAAAAAATTCGAATTTATAATATGTGCTTAATTTTTTATTATATATCTAATTAAAATATGTTTTACAAAGCAGTTATTATGTATATATATATTTAAATTTATATATGACAAAACATTGTGAACCCGGTTTATCCGGTCAAACTAGATTGAACCGAGATCCAAACGTTTTCCCGGTTGCTTCCACTTCAGTTTTTAAACTATTGTAGTCATGTAAAAAAAATATTAATTTATAACATAATTAGATAATCACTAACCGCTGTAAAAAAAAATAGATAATCACTAACCTTGTCATCGATACCACATATTCTACAAACATGACCATTGGCAACGATTTATCTGACTGGAGTAACAGGATCCGACCGCCCGATCTGTCGATCGAAGATGGCTTTTCCTTTTTCTTGACTCAAACATTATTTCTTTCTCGCTTCTCACATGAAGTTCGACCAATTTATTACCCTACACATAATCAAAATTAGTTCATCAAACAAATTATGTTAGATTTAAGATCATGAAAACATCCAAAAGTTTTTTACCTACATTTGTTTTCTATATATCCCAATTTTGTAGAGATATGTACACTTGCATCTAAACGCAAAGCCTTGGCTACCCTTTTCTTAACTATATTTTTGATTGCTAATGATTTCACCGACCTTTTGATTTTGATTAAGTGTCCCAATCTTTTCTTTTTGCCGTTGTTTTGACATAGATCTGATCATCTGAACATATAAATAGAGTGATTATTTGCATCGTTTTCATTCTGCAATGAATATAATATTACAATATAAATTATGTTATAACAAAGATCAGAAAATTTATTTTTTAGAATTTGTGTCGCTGGAGAGAGATTCAATCATCATCATCATATGAAAAATCATCTTCATGATGGCCTCCTGACACATTTATATTTAGATTTTATGTTATATCTTCTTCTCATGTAAGAATTTAATATCCAAAGTATATCAATGATTTGTGGATAGATCAATTCCCACACTATTGAATTGATGACAAGCAAAAAAAATCAGATAGATAAGAACAACTTATCTAAGTCTTTCTGAAATCAAAAATTAACGAACTGTAAGAGCATACCTTGTTCTTGTGATAACTTCTTCTTTCCATCCACTAAAACAAAGATCACACCTTGTTCGGGTGTAGAACTTAAACTATAGTTTCTCAAACTTTTAATTTTTTTTCTGTCAAGAAAAATTTGTGAAAGCAAAAACGTTCTGATATGTAAAATGATATGTTCTCTACTCACTATTTATAGAGAAATAAGGAATAAGATGAAAAAGAAAATGGTGTTTTATCAAAACCAAAAAGCTTAAATAAATAAATATATTTCTTTATTTTATGTTTAAATTTAGTTTAATTATTATTTTACGTGGGAATGTTTGAAATACTAACATTTGTAACGGTCTGGGCGCGACATTTGAAATACCGTTAGTATTCTTAAAAACTAATTTATTTATTATTTGGATAAATTTAGGGTGATTTAAGTGAATAACCAAAAAAAAAAGAAAAATTAGTTTTTTAGAAAGAAGGTAGAGAGAGATAGGAAGAGAAAGTAAGTGAATAGGGGGGTTAGAGGTTAGTTATTGAATTAAAGTTTTTTTGTTGGTTAGTTTTGCCAATTTCCCATAAATTTATTACTACATATACAGTCAAATCTATCATAATTTTTCTTTCTTTTGCTTTTGGCTTTACAATTTTGTTTTTCTTTGACCAAAAACTAAATTGTAAACCAAAAGCAGAATATGGGAAAATATTTCGTATTTAGACACAAATATAATATAAAAGTAAATAGTAGATTTTATGAGATTCTGTATCTTGTGTATTAAGAAAATTTTGGATGTATATGTAAATTGTTTACAAACACAATTATTGTTTTGACTAGTAAGAAAAAGTGTCTTTTGACTTGGTTGTTAGGAGAATAATTGAAGATAAAATTTAAAACTCATGAAAACTTTTCATTTAGATTAGATATTTTTCAAAAACAGCCAATTCATGTTATCATTAGGTGGCATAAACAATGTATGAAGACAAAATTTGAAACATCTAACAAATATACATTAATTACTACTATATCTCTTATAAAAACCGCCAATGCATGTTATGATTAGTTGCATAAAAATTGTTGGTGTAGTTAATATAAATGTACAGTAAATAATTAGGAATTAACTAATTATACAGCTATTGCCCAGTAAATTTGCTATACGAAGCTACTAATTATTAAATTATACAGCTGTCACAAGTAATTTTAAAATATTAATTTCCATATTACAAACAAATACAAATAAGTTTATAATATTAATTTAATTAAATAAGATTACTGAGAAGAAAGAGTAACTATTCTCAGTATATAAAAGTACTTGTAGTAGAAAATCTCTGTGTAGGTATCTTTTTCCTATTTAGCTTTTAGTAGTTAGTGAAAATAAAATTCATATAGAAAGAATAGTTCGTTTTTGCTGGTCAACAAAATGATAAAAATGACTAATTCCAATTATAATATTTTGACTACAATGAATGTGTAACCAACTTTAATGTATACACTGATAAAAATGTTTTTTTTTTGGTTGGCTTTTAAGTAATAAATTAGAAATATTTTGACTGTTGAAAATATTTGTTTGACTAGTGAAAAACAGAAAAAGTAATTTGTATGTTCCCCTACTAATTAAAGTGAAAACAAATCTAACAATTAACATATATGTTCTCGTATATGTATACGTTTTCCTTGTAGAATAGTTATACTTTATCTAAATCCCTAATGTAGGGTTATATTAATTTAAATACACAGATAACTGAAAAATTAAGAATATATACATGTTTTTTGTATAATTAGTTATCTCTCATCAATTTATATAAGTTGGACAAAAATACTCTTCTGCATATAACAAATTGTTTAGCGATATAATAAAATAGATATCGACGAGATAAATATTTCAGATGGATTCCGACAATAGTTCTGGTAAAATTTCCGGTGATGAATCAGTTGAGTTTTAGATAGTTAATTATTTTGTTAGCATGATATATATTATTTGTTTAATATACTAAATAATTTGCTATCACGATAAGTTTATATATAATGTGTTAAATGTATGTTTTTCGTTTTAAAATTGTGAATCAATGCTTTTTTATTTATGTTTATATTAGTTTAATAAAAAAGATTAGTCTTTCTCTTACATTATTATTATGATAACATTTATAACAACATGTTATATAGAATGATAACGTGCTAATATATTAAATACCTGAATAATATTTGTATGAACATGGTAAGAGAGTTGATATATGGATAACAATAATATTAATGTGTAATTTTTACATAATATTCACTAATACATAACTGATAACGAGGTTATCATGATAACAAGTACACAAATTTTTATATACGTTGTTAACTAATTTGTTATCGATAAATATAGTAAAATCAAACCCAGAAAAATGTGCCAATGATGCCAACGATTCCTCTTTTTTATCGATTAACCTAATCTAAGCTACAATTGACAAATTCAGTCTCTATATCTGTCTCTGCCCACCACTCTGTTTGATCTAACATCACGACACCATCCATTTCTCCCCCGTAATTACCGCAACCGATATAATCATCATCACCACCGATATATCATCACAATTCAGCTTTTAGCCATCACACCTTCTCAATTCTTCTTTCATCTTCTTCTTTCTATACTTACCGCCACCAATAATATCATTCTTACCATCATCATCTGTAAATCTCATCATCGTCAAATCAGAACCACCATCAAATACCATTATTTTTACCTCTGAAACTTAACCAACCTTCACAAAAAAAAGACCACAACTTCCCGTGATCTTCATCTTTACCAAATCAAAAGCACTATTGTCATAGATGAACCACACAAGTCATTGGTTTTGCTCTTCGGTCCTCTGCAAAAAAAATTCTGATTTAATTTCATCATTAAATTTGTGTTCTCGTGTTTGAAGAAGAAAGAAATGAAAGAAGAGAGATAAAACATTGAATAAATAAATCAAGGGTGGTATTGTCTTTTACATATGCACAGTGAATGTCAAATAGTAACAAAGAGAGAGAACTAATTATTCATTCTTCTGTGGTCATGGAATATAGATACTTATAAATGTAAAAGTTTCCGAAAAAAACCGGACTTATTTAAGAGAATAAAGATTTCAATGTTGTAAGCTATACAAGAGAAGAATCCAATTTAAGAGAATAAAGATTTCTAGCGACAAGAGGACGTAGAAATTTTTATCAAACTGTCTCTTCGATTTGATTTGGTAAGATTTTCAAGTTTCATCTCCTTGTACAACATCATATTAAACACTCCACAAAATATCTTAACACATTATTCATCGCTCGAACTTTTAAATTTAAAATGCTTGTGGACTAAGAAGAAGTCGATGTTTTTGCTTTCGTCGGTAAATACAATCCTTAAAACATCATCATTAGAATAATAGAGATATAACCGCTAACCGAATCGTACGTCTTAATAAGTTTGTATGATTATGCAGCCAATTCTTCAACATGAGCATTAATCTCGAGCTTCTTGATGACCAACTTGTTGTTAGGTAGGTCAACATCGAGAAGTATAGTGTCTTCCTCTGAAATTTCTCCCTTCAAAAGTTTTGATGAGATCTCCTTCTTCACTATCTCTTGAATCACTCTCTTCACTGGCCTTGCCCCATTGTTGGGGTCAAACCCAAGCTGAGCAAGGAGCTCCACCGCTTCTTTTGTGTACTCAAGATTTATTTTCTTTTGTTCCAACAAATTCTTCACTCGTCTCATCTGCACCAAATGGTAACAATACATTTATACCTAACACAAACAAAACTAGACCAAAGGAAAAAACCAAATACCCTAAGCCTATACACTAACCAGTGGGCACTAAATACGTTTTTAAAAATTAAACAGATTGAGTGCCCACTGGTTAGTGTATAGGATTAGATCAAATATTTCTAATGATGATGTAACAAATGACAAAAATAAAACAAGATAAAATAAAATGGATTTGTATATAAGGTAAGTACCTGAAACTCCACGATTTTGGATAATTCTGTTAAATCCAACGGCTGGAAAACTATGTATTCGTCAATTCTATTCATGAACTCTGGCTTAAAAGTCTGTCTTGCTAACTCCACAGCTTGTTGCTTCATCATCTCATAAACAGCTTCTTTGCTATCTTTATTGTTGCGGAAAGTCTCAAGTATGGGTTGTGATCCTATGTTAGACGTCATTACTACAAAGCAGTTTCTAAAACTTACGGTCCTTCCTTGAGAATCAGTTACTCTTCCATCATCTAGTATCTGTAGAAAGATATTGAAAACATCCGGGTGTGCTTTCTCGATCTCGTCAAATAGAACCACTGAGTAAGGTCTCCTCCTAACAGCTTCAGTTAACTGCCCACCTTCTTCAAAACCAGCACAACCAGGAGGTGCACCAACGAGCCGTGAGACTGAGTTTTTTTCCATGTACTCACTCATATCGATCCTCACTATCGCGTTTTCAGTGTTGAAAAGGTATCCAGCAAGAGTGTTGGCAAGCTCGGTTTTACCAACACCTGTTGGACCCATGAACATAAAACTGGCTATTGGACGGTTAGGATCTGATAGGCCAGCCTTTGAACAACGGATAGCATTTGCTATTGATTCTACAGCCTTTTCTTGACCAACAACTCTCTTGTGAAGCACTTCTTCCAACATGACTAGCTTTTCTTTCTCTGATTGCTGAAGATTTGATAGTGGAATACCGGTCCACTTGCTTACTATCTCTGCTATGTGGACATCGGTTACCTCTCCTTGGAGTGAATCTTCGGGATTGGTGAAATTTTTCTCCGCTTCTTCTAACTGGCGTTGGAGAGAAATAATTGTTCCATACTTAAGATCATCAGTACCGTTTAGACCACATTCAAGTTCCGCGGATTTATCGATCTGTAAAACACAGAACATGTTTATGAGTACATTAAGGTTTGATTTATATCACAGTATAAGAAACCACAAAAAGTACTACAACCACTAAAAGTACTATATACAGCCATGTGGAGTGGTGTTCATGAGCTAGTGATCTTTTTAGACCACTAGTTCTTATTTGTTTAAGGCCAAAACAACGTAAACCTAAAAACAAGTAGTGTGGGAATTTACCTCTTCTTTAAACGAACGTAATTTAGTAATGAGAGACTTTTCTTGCTCCAATTGCTTACTGAGTTTGTTTCGTTTATCCGTGAGCCTGCTCAAATCTTTATTCATTTTCTGTAGAACTTCCATAGAAGCTTTTTCAGTATCCCTTTGCAAAGAAAACTTCTCCGTCGCGAGTTTGAGCACAGCTTTGTTTATTTCATCCAGTTCAGTTGGTTTCGGAGTGGTCAAAACCCTCAACTTTGCAGCAGCTTCATCAACAAGATCAATAGCTGAAACAAAGAAATTTTATCTTTAAACACAAGAACAACTTGTAAAGAATCACAAGAAGGTGCAAGTTTTGTACCTTTGTCTGGAAGAAAGCGTTCAGTGATGTAGCGGTCTGCCAAGACCGCTGCTGAAACTAGAGAACCATCTGATATCTTAACACCATGATGTAACTCATACCGCGTTCTTAACCCACGAAGAATCGAGATGGTATCTTCAACAGATGGCTGATTACAGAACACTTTCTGAAACCTACGTTCAAGAGCTGGATCTTTCTCCATATATTTGCGGTATTCGGTTAGCGTAGTTGCACCAATGCATCGTAGTTCACCTCTTCCAAGCATTGGTTTTAGGAGGTTGCTCACATCCATTGTATCATCTTTACAAGCTCCTACACAAGGGTAATAACATCATTCAATTCATTACCTTCCACATTTTAACAATAGCCCTTAATTAGTGAGGCAATGAAGGGTCACCTGCACCAACAATAGTGTGGATTTCATCAATGAACAAGATTGTCTTGCCATTGGATGCAGTTATTTCATTCAACATTGCTTTCAACCTTTCCTCAAATTCTCCTCGATATTCGGTACCAGCAATCAGTGCACCTATGTCGAGAGATATAACCTACATTACAAAATAACAATTTACAATCTTGCTCTGCCCGCTTAAAAAGACTTAAGCCAAAAAGAAATCTGCATTAACCTTCTGGTTCAAGAGAGGTTCAGGGACATCCCCTTTTACAATTCGCTGCGCTAACCTGAAAAAGGTTAAAATATTTTTCAGTACAATCATAAGTTTGAGAGATATAATTACAAGACTTACCCTTCTGCAATAGCGGTTTTCCCTACACCGGGTTCACCGATGATAACAGGATTGCTTTTTGTCATCCTGCATAGTATTTGGATGCACCGGTTAACTTCATCATCGCGTCCAATGAGAGGAGGGAGTTTTCCTTGTTTAGCCATCTCCGTTAAATCACTTCCATATGTTTCAAGTGCTTTCTCCTTATCATCAGTCTACATATAGAAAAAGAAACTAAGATAATCGAGTTAATGGCGAGTCTAAATGACAAAATTAATCAGCATCAACCACAGACCTGATCTGACTTATCAGAGAAGCGGCGTGGAGAAGGGAATTGGAGAGAAAGAGGTAAAAGTTGGCCACGAGAAGTGGCTTGAGTCGCTGAAGTTATGCCGTTTCCGGAAACTCTGACGAAGGAGTCTGGTCGGAAAAGAAAGGAATTGGATGAGGAACGCGAGCTGAAGTGAGCACAGGCAGAGAGAGCGCGAGACCGGAGAAGGATAGAAGGTCTTGAAAGAGCATTGTGTGCCTTGATGGCTGCGGAAACAGACTTAGACAATCTTCTAGACGCCATGTCAAGATGAATTGGAACAAGGAGGAGCTTGGTATAGTGTTTTAAAAGAGGAGGAAGATAGAGGTTTTAAGATGCTTGGCGAAGAAGCAAATTAGTGTTTGGTGAAGAAGCAAACGAGTGTGTAATAAATATTCGTACATATGTTATAAAGGAAATAATTTTTTTAGCAGAAATAGAAAGTTTAAAATGAAATAGAAGATTATTTCAGAAATGTAAAGAATTATTTATTAATCTAAATTTTCCAATTTATCGTAAAAGACAGCAAAAATTAGAATAATTCATTTATAATGTTTTTTTCTAGTATTAAAAATTTATGTAAGATGCTAATAGATTAGATTCTTTAGATCAATAAAAATATGAGAAATACACCAAAATACCAACTCTATTAAGTTTTTGTTTCGAAAATACCATCGGTAGTTTATTTTTTCAATAATACCTAAATTTTTGGAAAAAAATATTTGTTCAGCCAAAATAAATTACAAATAAAATTAAATAATTATATTTGGGTTCCTTCATTATTTCCAATTTAGGATATATAGTTTCCACCATTTAAAAGAGATTTTGATTAATTTTAATATTGAATTTGTGGTATTATTAGAAGAAAAAAAAATCCAGTGATGGTATTTTTGGAATAAAAACTTAAAAATGTGATATTTGATGAACCTTTGCTTTAGGAAGCACCTACAAGATATTATCTGTTGTTCGATCCATCTTTCTATTTTGCAGAAGATTGATATGTGTCCACTAAATCTGTTGGCTATATTTAAAACTTCATGGATTGTAGCAAATACTTTTTGAATTAATACGAAAACTATAAGTATAAACATTTCAATGTTGAAAACTATAACCAGCCTAACAACAAATTTCTTCCCACATTATTCACCGCTCCAACTTCAAATGCTTATGTTCGAAGAAGAAGACAGCACTAAAGTCATGAATCTACATAACATAGAACAAAACCAAATCGTCTAATTTTGTTTGACATGAGCTTTATTATCCATCTTCTTGATGACCAATTTGTTGTTAGGCTGGTCAGCATCGATAAGAATAGTGTCATCCTCTGCAAAATCTCCTTTCAAAACTTTGAAGGTGATCTCCTTCTTCACAAGCTTCTCAATCATTCGCTTCACCGGTCTTGCCCCGTTCTTTGGGTCAAACCCAAGCTGAGCAAGGAGATCCACCGCTTCTTTCGTGTATTCAAGATTTATCTTATTCTGTTCCAACCTCTTCTTTACTTGTCTCATCTGCACCACCATATGGTAACAATACAGTTATACCAAACTGGACAAACGAAAAACCGAATAGCAATGGGCACGAAGTATATTTGCACAAACTAATCGATGTGAAGAAAGATCTGAAGAGACTTGAATAGTATATAAAGGACATGGGACAATCCACTCATTGCCAATTGGTTTCGAGTTGGACGCCTATGAAACTTAACAATCTATGGATTGAAAAATAAAGATTGTGAAAACTAAATAAGAAAAAAAAGAGAGAAAGATACCTGTAACTCCACGATTTTGGATATTTCTCTTGAATCCAAAGGCTGGAAAACTATGTATTCATCAATTCTATTCATGAACTCTGGCTTGAAAGTTTTTCTTGCTAACTCCACAACTTGTTGCTTCATCATCTCATACCGTGCTTCTTTGCTATCGTTATTGTTGCGAATGGTCTCAAGTATTTGTTGAGATCCTATATTAGACGTCATTATAACAAAGCAGTTTGTAAAACTTACTGTCCTCCCATGAGAATCAGTTATTCTTCCATCATCTAGTAATTGTAGCAAGACATTGAAGACATCAGGGTGAGCTTTCTCGATCTCATAAAACAGAACCACTGAATAAGGTCTCCTCCTTACAGCTTCAGTTAATTGCCCACCATCACTATACCCGACATAGCCAGGACATGCGCCAATGAGCCGTGTAACAGAGACTCTTTCCATGTACTCACTCATATCAATCCTCACTATTGCATTTTCATTGTTGAAAAGGTATCCAGCAAGAGCCTTGGCAAGCTCGGTCTTACCTACACCTGTTGGACCCATGAACATAAAACTGGCTATAGGGCGGTTAGGATCCGAAAGACCAGCCTTCGAACAACGTATAGCATCTGCAACTAATTCTACAGCCATGTCTTGACCAACTATTCTCTCATGGAGCACTTGATCCAACATGACAAGCTTTTCTCTCTCTGATTTCTGAAGATTTGATTGTGGAATACCAGTCTTCTTGCTTACTATTGATGCTATGTCACGATCTGTTAACTCTTCTCGGACTAGCGACTCGTGAGACTCTCGGAAATTCATGAGATTCTTCTCAGCTTCTTCTAACTGGCGTTGGAGGGACGTAAGTGTTCCATACTTAAGATCATCAACACGGTTTTGATCAGATTCACATACAGCTGATACAATTTCCTGGTTCACTCCATCTATCTATTAAACATAGAATATATTTAGGAGGACATTAAGCATAAGTAACATTAATTTGAAAAATGTTATATCTGTTCTTAAATTTTAAGAGTGAGGAAGATAGATTTTACCTCTTCTTTAAATGAACGTATTTTAGCAATTAGAAACTTTTCTTCTTTCAATAGCTCACTAAATTGTTTTTGTTTATCCTTGAGCGTGGTCAAATCATTCTCAATCTTCTCTAGCCGTTCTTTAGAAGCTTTATCACTATCCTTTTTCAAAGAAAGCTTTTCCATCTCTAGTGTGGTCACATCTCTGTCTATTTCATCGACTTCTGTTGGTTTAGTAGTGATCTCTATCTTCAGCTTTGCAGCAGCTTCATCAACAAGATCAATAGCTGAAACAAAGAATTTTCATCGTAAAATTAACAAAATATTTTCCCAAGAAAAAACTGGTAAAGTTTTGTTATACCTTTGTCTGGCAAAAAACGTTCAGTGATGTAGCGGTCTGCCAAAACCGCTGCTGAAACAAGGGAACCATCTGATATCTTAACACCATGGTGTAACTCGTATCGCTCTCTTAACCCTCGAAGAATCGTGATGGTATTTTCAACAGATGGTTGATCACATAACACTTTCTGAAACCTACGTGCCAAAGCTGGATCGTCCTCTATGTATTTGCGGTATTCAGTCTGCGTAGTTGCACCAATGCATCGCAGTTCACCTTGTCCAAGCATTGGTTTCAAGAGGTCTCCACCACTAGACGCTACACAAGCAACATAATATTAGCTAGGAGCAGCTAAACACAGAGCCGGTCCAACTTTATCCAAACGAAAAGAACATTAGCCGTGATCAATTGGCGATGGAATTTTCTTCTAATGAGAAGTAAACAACGTTAACTAATGAAGGGGTACCTTGACGAACAAGAGAGTGGATTTCATCTATGAACAAGATTATCTGCCCATTAGAAGCAATTACTTCCTTCAGTATTGCGTTTAACCTTCCCGCAAACTCTCCTGTAAATACGGCACCAGCAAGCAACGAACTCATGTCGAGAGATATCAACTACAGTATATATTAAGCAACCAAGCCAAGCATATGTTAAAATCTTCCTTTGGCCTTTTGAAGAAAAAAATATTAGTTTCCATGAATAAACCTTCCGATTCAAGAGAGGTTCTGGGACATCCCCTCGTACAATTCGCTCCGCCAACCTACAATCTCTCCGTGAATTTATCAAAGGAGTACAAAATCATAAGTTTGAGAGATCTGATTTGTAAGACGTACCCTTCTGCAATAGCAGTTTTCCCTACACCAGGTTCACCAACGATAATAGGATTGCTTTTTGTCATCCTGCATAGTATTTGGATGCAACTCCGAATTTCATCATTCCTTCTGATCACAGGACGTAGTTTTCCTTGTTTAGCCATCTCAGTCAAATCATTTCCATACTTTGCAAGTGCTTCATTCTCAACTTTCCCCTGAATTAAACCACCAAAAGGCAAACTTAGATAATCACCTATTCACCATCCTTGCCAAAAGAGAAACCCGTGAAAAGCAACACGTAACTGACGACGAACCTTAGCTGCGGTATCCGAGAAACATCGCGGAGAAGGGAATTGGAAACATATAGGGAACAGTTGGCCATGAGCTGTGGCTTGAGTAACCGAAGAGAAGCTGTTTGATGAAACTCCGATGAAGGAATTTGGCCGGGAAAAAAGTGAATTAGGAGAGGAAATCAAGCTCAAGTGTGAAGAGGAAGAGATAGCGCCAGAATGGAGGAGGAGGGACGGCCTATAAAAAAAATTGTGTGCCTTGATCGCTGCCGCAGCAGATTTCGACAATCTTCTGGAGGACATTGATTTGGTTTAGGGTTTTTACTTCGAGATACTTGGAGAAGAAGCAAACAAGTTTATAGAGTTAATGTTTATAAATTAATATTTACTAGATCTTGACCCGCACATACGTGCGGGGTTTCATATTTTTTAAAAAAATTCTAACAAATTTTTAATTCAATATAGATTATTTCGTTGTTTCTATGATATATATTTTAGTGTATTAGATCTGGATTCACACCTACGTGCATAGATATTTTTATAGAAATTGTTATATAGATTTTAAAAATATAAAATATTTTGTTGTGTTAGTGAACTTTATAATAGTATAAATATTATAAAATTAGAGTAATGAACGAAATTCAGTTGCATTAGTGCATAGTTATATTTTAAGATCCTGACCTACACGTAAGTGCGAAATTATATTTAAGATAAAACTAAGATATAATTTAGTTGCAAAAGTTAAATGATGTTACATTTTTTTATTTTTTAAACTAATCAAAACATTTCTAATAGTTTGATTACATGTGTTAAATAGGATATAGATTCGGTTTGAGTTTGGTTATTTCATGTATATTAGCTAGGCGTAACTATTTTGGAACGGGAAACCTATCCCGTCTTGTATATGTCATAAATTCTTAGTCCCATAACCCGTATCGTATACGTGAAATAAAAATATGACGGTCCAGTATCCGGCATAAATAGAATATTTGTAACTGAAAACGTACGTACAGTATGTAAACAAATTTATTTTATATAGTGCTCATAACCCGAACTTATACCAGTTGGGTATTTAGTTTGATTTTTAATTTATGTTCCCCTCCTATCCCGTCTCGTAATTCCTATTCTCATTTCATTCCATTAAAATCATGTTCCAAATTCTTGTTTGCTTACTTTTAAATATCATACAATACATACTGTGAGTTTTGCCGATTAATATATATGCTGCTAAAGTTACAAATATATTTTAACAAATTTATTAATGTTTCTTTCCTTAGCTAAATTTTGCATATTCTTCTTTTTATTGTTTAATAATAATTAATTTGATTTTTGGACTAAAAATAAAAATTTGAAATACATCTCTAAAAGGGATATGCTATTGCTGCATAATTTGTTTTGAATTCAAAATATATAATTATTTACATTATTTGAAAACTTTGTGCAATATATTAGGGATTTATTTAAGGAAGATCCAGTTGAAAAACAAAAAATAAAACGCAAAATAATTTAGAAATTAATATATACAATCTATTGTTTAGATATTTATCAAACTTGCTCTAAACGAAGGCTATAATGATAATTACTTTAAATTTATTATTATTTGAGTTTATTTCATAGTAAATATAAATAGTTGTTAATATCTAATATCGTATTTTAGAAATTGTGAAATAAATTTTTGTTTTATATTTTAAAATTTGTGAAAATATTATAACAAAACTGAATCTTAAAATATTTGTATTTAATTTTCTTATGAAATTTTAAATTCAATCTTAAAGTCCTCCATTGATAAATCTTTTAAACGGTAGTGTTTTTAATTTTGAATTAAAATGATATTATTTTTCTTTTTATTTTTGATATAGAATAGTCTATTACGATTGGTTTAGATAAAATCTTAGTTGGATATCAAATCTTAGTTTTTAAATTCTCATTGGTTAACAATTTTTTAAAAATTAATTTCAAATTTTCGTTTATAATTAATAGGAGAGAGAAAGTTAGTTAAATTTTTTGAAAATTAATAATTATTTAAAAGAATTAAACTATTTTTTATTTAAATATATTAATTTTGTGATTACTATTGTACCCTTAATGAAGTTATTTAAAAACACTAAAAACTAATGGCAATCTTTGTAATATCTTACACTTTATAAGGTTATTTAAGTTAGAATGATTCCCAATTAATAGTATAGATTCAAATAAAAATATTTTAAAATTATTTGCGTTAAAAGCCCAACATGTTTAATTATACTTATAATCCTATTATCCTATTATAATAAATCACAAGTCACTTTCCAAATAACTGCAGCTCTCTCCATTTGACACATGTCTTTTTTTTTTTTTTTTTGAACAAAGTTGACACATGTCTTAAGTCTCAAATTCTACTCTTTTACTTTTTTTATTTTTTAAAAACAATTTACGACAAGAAAAAAACAAAAATTCAAAAACTGTTCTTCTTTCCTCATATCTCCCCACAATCTCTACAATATCTTTTTGAAAAATCTTTTTGACTCAATGTATATACAAAATATTGTTACACAAATTTATAACTAATTGCTAAAGAAAAAAAATAGAATTTCCTAATCATTTGAATAAAAAATGAACTACTACACTGATTTGACCGCGCAAAGCGCAAGCTATTAAACTAGTAGTATATACCCTTTTTTGTCAATTCTAAGTATCTTATTATATATATAATTATAAATTTATGATACATGTCAAATTTATCGATTAAACTGTAACACATGAAACTTTTTCCAACTTTATTCTTTTTATATAAATTAGAAAGCTAACAAAAAGAAAAATAAAAACATATTTATATATACTAATTTGCACGTGTATTTCGAAAAAATGTTGAATAATATTTTCTTCAACAAACAAGGAAAAAAACTCATAGTATAACGAAATATAAAAATTCATATTTTAAATTTTCGATAAGATTGATTCACTATTTAATTTTGTTGACTTTTTTACAATAATTGTAGTTATTATTGAATCAAAAGTTTTTACACTTTTATATCATGCCAAACTCTGTTGAGAATGTTCAAACTTTATATAATAAGATTAATAATTTTATTTACTTTTTCCAGTAGGACAAATATATTTTTACTTTTTCATAATATAACAAAAAAATGTTAAAAGAATTAAGGTTAATAATTTAATACATGCAGATTCTTTTATATGATAAGGAGCTTTTACTCTTACTTTTTGAATCTATAAGAAATATTCTTTTTTCTTTTCTTTTTTCGGATAGGGTTATAACTTTTCCATTTCTTAAAAAATATAGTAACAAATTTAGTTTAGAAAAGGCTAGAATATATATCTTATTATATAAATTATGGTTTTCAAAGTTAGTAACTCACGTGATCGCGACACGTGTCAATTCTATCAATCAGATGTTAACATGCGTCAGACAATATTTAACTTTTTTTTTCCTTAAAGAAATAAGAAAACTAAAAAAAGAAGCATATTTACATATACTTATTTATATGTCTATATCTAAAAAAAAAACTTTTATTTTCCTTAACCAAAAAGAAAAACTAACAAATTTTTTTGGTCATTAAATTTGGCATATATTATTTAGAAATAATAATTTAACATGGAAATTTGGCATATATTATTTAGAAATAATAATTTAACATAGATATTAGCTAATAAACAATGACCGTTGAAGTTCAAATAACAATATAAGTTATTTAAAATTAATTTAGTTGGACCGTATTTACCACTATAATATAGTGTTTTTATTCGCTAAATGAAAAACCAAAATTTTTGAAAAAAGTAATGAGCTAATAAGAATGAAAATTTGAATGCTTAATAAGAATATTAGTATAGTTATACTTATGTTTTATTCTAAGAATTTTAACGCAAGTAGTTAATAGTGAAAACATCAAAAATTTGGGAAAAAATGGCCTATAGGAATGAATTTTCGATATTTGATGAGAATGCTAATTAGAATATATTTTGTTTATGTTTTCTTTATTTATTTTAATTCATTCAAAATTAGTTTGACATGAGACAAAATTAACGTATGAGATTAAAACATATAGAAAAAAATATATTTTAACAATGTTTGTTTTACAAAGTAATTTGTGGATTTTTGTTTTTAGTATTAGTTATGGTTTTTTTTTTATTTATTTATGATATTAACTAAGATATATTTGAAATGATATACATATTATTTTAAAATAATTTTTTTAGCACTTATCTATTATGAAGAGTGTGTAAAATGAAAATTTAATTTATTATGATGAAATAGATAGTTGAAGTGTATCGCAAAATTGAATGTGTAAGATTGAAATTCACAAAAAAAAAAAATACTAAATTAAACATTTGAAAGTTTGTTGATTACTATTTAAAATTTACATTTATTTTATACATCCGCCTATTTAGGCGGGCCTTATCTAGTATATATATATAAAGGCTCTGTTATTGTGATTTTTAATGTGTTAATTATTGTCATTTCAAATTATTATAAACAGGTAGTTCTTAATCGAAATAACAGAGCACTAAAAGTCCAAAGTTAAAAATCTACAATACATAGAACAAAGAGTTAGTGTAATCATGTTTGTATGATCAAGCTGTCATTTCTTCAATGGGAGCATTATTCTCGAGCTTCTTGATGACCAGTTTGTTACTTGTCTGGTCAACTTCAAGAAGAATGGTGTCTCCCTCTGCAAAATCTCCTTTCAAAACTTTGAAGGCGATCTCCTTCTTCACAATCTTCTCGATCACTCTCTTCACTGGTCTTGCCCCATTGTTTGGGTCAAACCCAAGCTGAGCAAGTAGATCCACTGCTTCTTTTGTGTACTCAAGTGTTATCTTCTTATGTTCCAACCTATTCTTCACTCGTATCATCTGCACCACCAAATCGTAACCAATAAATTTATACCAAACCAAAGCCAAACTAAACACGAAAAACAAAAGTAGGTTTAAAAAGGTAAATTACCTGTAACTCCACGATTTTCGATAGTTCTCTTGAATCCAAAGGCTGGAAAACTATGTATTCATCAATTCTATTCATGAACTCTGGCTTGAAAGTTTTTCTTGCTAACTCCACAACTTGTTGTTTCATCATTTCATAAACTTCTTCTTTACTATCTTCATTGTTGCGGATAGTCTCAAGTATGTGTTGAGATCCTATATTAGATGTCATTATTACAAAGCAGTTTGTGAAACTTACTGTCCTCCCATGAGAATCAGTTATTCTTCCATCATCTAGTAGTTGTAGCAAGATATTAAAGACATCATGGTGAGCTTTCTCTATCTCATCAAACAGAACCACTGAATAAGGTCTCCTCCGAACAGCTTCAGTTAATTGCCCTCCTTCTTCGTAACCGATATAACCAGGTGCTGCACCAACGAGCCGTGAGACTGACTGTTTTTCCATGTACTCACTCATATCAATCCTCACTATTGCGTTTTCATTGTTGAAAAGGTATCCAGCTAGAGCTTTTGCAAGCTCGGTTTTCCCAACACCTGTTGGACCCATGAACATAAAACTGGCTATAGGGCGGTTAGGATCTGAAAGACCAGCCTTTGAACAACGGATAGCATCTGCAACTGATTCAACAGCCAATTCTTGACCAATGACTCTCTTGTGGAGCATTTGTTCCAACATAACAAGCTTTTCTTTCTCTGATTGCCGAAGATTGGACAGTGGAATACCGGTCGACTTGCTTACTATATCCGCTATGTTAAGATCGGTTACCTCTTCTCGGACTAGTGAACTAGAATTTGTGAGGTTCTTTTTAGCTTCTTCTAACTGGCGTTGGAGGGATACAAGGGTTTCATACTTAAGTTCATCAACACGTTTTAGATCAGATTCCCATACCGCGTACTCAATTTCCTGGTTTACTTCATCTATCTGTAAAACGTAGAACATGTTTAGGAGGACATTAGGGTTTATATATGAAACAGAAAACTTGTTTAGGAAGTTAAATTGTACCTCTTCTTTAAATGAACGAATTCTAGCAATGAGAGACTTTTCTATTTGCCATTGCTCATTAAATTTTATCTGTTTATCCTTGAGCGTGCTCAAATCATTCTCAAGTTTCTGTAGCCGTTCTTTTGAAGCTTTATTGGTTTCCATATTCAAAGAAAGCTTTTCCATCTCCAGTGTGATCAAAGATCTGTCTATGTCATCGAGTTCAGCGGGTTTAGAAGTGGTTTCCATCTTAAGATTTGCAGCAGCTTCGTCAACAAGATCAATAGCTGAAAACAAACAACTTTCATTTTTTAAAACAAAGCCATTCTTGTGGTATCTTTTGGCCAAAAAATAATCACGAGAATACCTTTGTCTGGCAGAAAGCGTTCAGTGATGTAGCGGTCTGCAAGAACCGCTGCTGAAACAAGGGCACCATCTGATATCTTAACACCATGGTGTAACTCATACCGCTTTCTTAACCCACGAAGAATCGAGATGGTAGCTTCAACAGATGGTTGATCACATAACACTTGATGAAACCTACGTTCCAGAGCAGGGTCTTTTTCTATGTAGTTACGGTATTCGGTCAGCGTAGTTGCACCAATGCATTGCAGTTCACCTCGAGCAAGCATTGGTTTCAAGATGTTGCTCGCATCCATTGCACTACCTTGAATACGTCCTACAAAACCACAATATTATCAGGCATTAGTCTCTTTTGGGATACAAAAGAGCATTTTATAAATATCGGTTTACGAATTAAAGGCACCTGCACCAACAAGAGTGTGGATTTCATCAATGAACAAGATTGTCTTCCCATTGGAAGCAGTTACTTCCTTCAGTACTGCTTTCAACTTTTCCTCAAATTCTCCGCGATATTTTGTACCAGCAAGCAATGAACCCATGTCGAGAGATACCAACTACATCATATTTAGTAACCAAGCCAAGAATGTTAAAATCTTTCGTAGGCCGAAAAGAAAATTAGAGCAATATTAAAATTCTTAGAAAGAACCTTCTGATTCAAGAGATGTTCAGGGACATCCCCGCTTACAATTCGTTGGGCCAACCTAAAGAGACACTAGGTCAAAAATCTCTCAGTAAAGTTTTCTAGATATAATTGCAATTAGCCTTACCCTTCTACAATAGCAGTTTTCCCTACACCAGGTTCACCAACAATAACAGGGTTGCTTTTTGTTCTCCTGCACAATATCCGGATGCAGCGCCTAATTTCGTCATTCCGTCCAATCACAGGATCAAATTTTTCTTGTCTAGCCAAGTCAGTTAAATCAGTTCCATAGTTATCAAGTGCTCCATTTTGATTAGTCTACATATAGAGAAAGAAACACCAAAATTTGTAACACTTTTTTTTTTTGTATTTACAAACAAAAAACACAATCTAATACACATGATAGGAAGAAAACTCATTTGATAATCATCAATGAACATACTGGATCAAATTTGACACAGTAGCACTAAAAGAAACTGAGAATCCACATGTAACTAGCCACTAACCAAAGATGCGAAGTGGCGCGGAGAAGGGAACTGAAAAGAAATAGGGAAGAGTTGGCCATGAGCTTCGGTTTGAGTGACCGAAGGGAAGCCGTTTCGGATAAAGGAATTTGGTCGGAAAAGAAAGGAATTGGAAGAGGAACGCGAGCTGAAGTGAGCACAGACAGAGATAGCTCGAGAGGGTCTCGAAAAAGTGTATTGAGCCTTGATGGCTACCGAAGCAGACTTGGATAATCTCCTGGACGCCATGGGTTTGGTTTAGGGTTTACTTTAGGATACTTGGAGAAGAGGCAAAGATGTTTGTTGATTATATGTATATACTACCTGCGCAGGAAATTGTTTTTTTTTTTTTTTTTAATGGTATCGTATTGCTGAGAATTTTTTTAATGATTTTTGCTGTTTTGATACTAAAGAAATTTTCGTTTTGTTAGATATATGTAAAATATATGGTTAGTGTGATGTAAATTTGAACTAGATCATGAACGAGTTAAATTTTATTTAGTACAAATTTTATATATTACATATTTTATTTAGTTCTGTTATATTATAGTAGTAAGTGAAATATTTTTTTTGTTAGTCCCTATATAATATTAGAATGATATATTTTATTTTTATAATACTTAATTATGTATAATTTTTCTTAAGATATAGAAACGAAAATTAAATTGTTTTAAAAAAATTTAATATTGTTTAAAACGATGAGTTTATTTATGTTAACAACCACAAAATAAATTTGCATATAATTTGGTTAGATCAAAAATTAAAATAACGTAAATGACCCGCATCTAAAATATAGATTATTTTGAGTTAATTAAAGGAGTTAGCTATTATTTTGAATTAATTTAGTAAGTTTCCTTTTTAATTTATAATTCTTCGGTTTTTTAAATGGAGATTTTTTGAGCTAATTACGGAATTTAGCAATTATTCGTATAATCGAATATATTAAAAACATATTTTTAGTATATAATAATACCAAAATTTAATCTGTGGGTGGAGTCTATATTTTCATTTTAGAATCTCAATGAAAAATTGCTTGCAGACCTCTTTAAATCCTTTTCAAATATTTAGAGGTTTACCTTATTTAAACATCTTGTCATATAATCTTAACCCGCCATCTATTATATGGATCATAACTCTTTCTATCATATAATAGATTATATTTAATCTATCATCTGCTATAAATATTTTAAATATATATGTTCAAAAAATCAAATTAGAATATTTATAATTTTAACTTTTTCATCTATTAAATGATATTCTTTAAAAATCTGAAGTTAAACAAATTTTTAATGTTCCAAAGTAAAATATTTAAAAAGTTTATTGTAGTATATAAAATTATAAATTTCAAAAAAAAAAAGAATTGTATGAAATTGAATATAGATAGTTAAGAGGATCATAAGTCATTCCATCATATAATACACTACATTTAAGAAACATTGCCAGAAATACCCTTTTTTGATATCTCTTTTCAAAAATACCTCTTTTTCTGGCCATTTTCATTTATGCTCTCTTCTAATTTTATATGACCATTTTACCTTTATTTGAAAACTATTTAAATCAACAAAATGAAAAAGTCAATTTTCCCGCCAAAACTTTTTCTGACAATAATTTTTCCGACAAAAAATTCTCGACAAAATCTTTTGGTGGGAAACGTGATTCCAGAAATTTTTGCGGGACATTTTTTAAAAAGGATTGACAAGGGTTTTACAAAGGTTTTAAAAGGATTTAAAAGGGTTTGAAAAAGATTTACATGAGTTTTAAAGGGATTTACAAAGGTCTTACAGGGGTTTTAAATGGTTTTAAGAGATTTACGTGTGGAATGGCCGAGAGCGGACCTTTTTGCAAGAGTTTTAAAAAGGTTTTAAAAGGATTTAAAGAGGTTTGAGAGGATTTAAAAAAGTTTTCAAATATTTTTAAAGGATTTTATAATAGTTTTTAAAGGATTTACAAGAGTTTTATAAGGGTTTAAAAGGATTTACAAGGGTTTTAAAAAATTTACAAGTTTTTTTTTAAGGATTTACAATGGTTTTATAAGGGTTTTACAAGATTTTTAAAGATTTAGAAGGGTTTTATAGGCGTTTTAAAAATATTTACAAGGATTTGAAAAGGGTTTTTAACATATTTTACAAAAGGGTTTTAAATTTAAAATTTGGCGGAAAACTTTTTTGGGCTAAAAATTATTTTGGCAGGCAATTTTCACTTTTTCATTATCTACTCATATTAAAAGAAGGGTAATCAAGTTATTTGTACATAAGAGTATCTATTTTGGCATAAAATTCTCACTTTCGCATTATCTACTTATATTGAAAGAAGGGTAATTTAGTCATTTATACATAAGAGTGAGTATTTTTCAAAATGGATTATAGAAAAGGGTATTGCTTAGCCCGTTCTTCTAAACTTTTATTTTCTGATGTTACTTTTGTAAACTCTTCTCCTCCTAATTGGGCAACCAATCATGGAGTTGTTTTTTAATGAATGTGTGGTTGACAAAAAAAAAAAGGGTATTTTTGAAAAAGAGCAAAGAAAGGGGTATTTTTGCAAATGTCCTTCATTTAACCCACCATCTACTATGAATATTTTAAATATATCTGTTTTAAAAAATCAAATTAAAGTATTTAAAATTTTTAGAATTTTTATCTATTATATACTGATGATATTCTTTACAAATATCAAGTTAAAATATTTTAAAATATTTCAAATTAAAATATTTAAATTTTTTTGTAGTATATAAAATTATATATTTTTAAAAAAATAAATGTTTGTAATAGAATATAAATATTAAAATTCTGATTCGTTACTTAGAACATCAACAAAATCAAAAGAATGAAAACCTAACGATAGAGAAAACGCAAAGTTAGCTAATCCATCGGCAAGACGATTAGTTTCCCTATACACATGAGAAATCTGGACAATCCTGTCCTTTGATAAGAAGTCATGACACAATCGTACCAGGAATGACAGCGGATGTTGATCACTTATCCCTATCCCTATCTTACTTTTGTAAACTCTTCTCCTCCTAATTGGGCAACCAATCATGGAGTTGTTTTTTAATGAATGTGTGGTTGACAAAAAAAAAAAGGGTATTTTTGAAAAAGAGCAAAGAAAGGGGTATTTTTGCAAATGTCCTTCATTTAACCCACCATCTATTATGAATATTTTAAATATATCTGTTTTAAAAAATCAAATTAAAGTATTTAAAATTTTTAGAATTTTTATCTATTATATACTGATGATATTCTTTACAAATATCAAGTTAAAATATTTTAAAATATTTCAAATTAAAATATTTAAATTTTTTTGTAGTATATAAAATTATATATTTTTAAAAAAATAAATGTTTGTAATAGAATATAAATATTAAAATTCTGATTCGTTACTTAGAACATCAACAAAATCAAAAGAATGAAAACCTAACGATAGAGAAAACGCAAAGTTAGCTAATCCATCGGCAAGACGATTAGTTTCCCTATACACATGAGAAATCTGGACAATCCTGTCCTTTGATAAGAAGTCATGACACAATCGTACCAGGAATGACAGCGGATGTTGATCACTTATCCCTATCCCTATCTTACTTTTGTAAACTCTTCTCCTCCTAATTGGGCAACCAATCATGGAGTTGTTTTTTAATGAATGTGTGGTTGACAAAAAAAAAAAAAGGGTATTTTTGAAAAAGAGCAAAGAAAGGGGTATTTTTGCAAATGTCCTTCATTTAACCCACCATCTACTATGAATATTTTAAATATATCTGTTTTAAAAAATCAAATTAAAGTATTTAAAATTTTTAGAATTTTTATCTATTATATACTGATGATATTCTTTACAAATATCAAGTTAAAATATTTTAAAATATTTCAAATTAAAATATTTAAATTTTTTTGTAGTATATAAAATTATATATTTTTAAAAAAATAAATGTTTGTAATAGAATATAAATATTAAAATTCTGATTCGTTACTTAGAACATCAACAAAATCAAAAGAATGAAAACCTAACGATAGAGAAAACGCAAAGTTAGCTAATCCATCGGCAAGACGATTAGTTTCCCTATACACATGAGAAATCTGGATAATCCTGTCCTTTGATAAGAAGTCATGACACAATCGTACCAGGAATGACAGCGGATGTTGATCACTTATCCCTATCTTAAAAAACCCAACCACCATTGATGAGTCTATTTCCAACTCCACTATGGATATTTGTTTTTCCCATGCTTGCCCATATTCCTTTGTGCTAAAGAATTTAGGATTTATATACGTAAATTGCTTACAAAATAATAATTATTTTACAAGGAAAAAAGTGTCTATGTTGACTTTGCAGTTAGAAGAAAAGAAGTGCAGACAAGATTTAACGCTTATCACCATTGGAACATTAAATTTCAATTTTATCTTTTTAAAGAAGACAAAATGTAACGCTTATCAAAAAGAGACATTTAGTTGCAGTTTTATATCTTTTTTTACAAACGACCAGTGCATGTTATAATTAGCTGGCATAAACAAAGTATGAAGACAAAACTGGAAGCTTATAAAAAAAAAAAATATTTAACTACAAATTTTCTATAAAAACGGCTAATGCATTTGTCCAGCTCCAGCACTTTTTTCTATACAAGTTAAAACTTTAAAACTGATTATGAGTTCACATGACACATGTGAATGACTAAAAAACTATTTACAAAAACGTCATTTTAAAGTTTCTTTCTTGGTGTTTTTTTGCCTGGTGAGCTTTTATTTGTTAGAAGTGAAAACAAAATTTAAATTTTGACAAAATATAATTTTAAAATTATTATCACTCTAAAGAATAGTTCATTTATGCTGGTCAACAAAAAAAAGAACAAAAATGACTAATTCCTATTATAATTTGTTGACGGCAATGGATGTGTAATCAATTTAATTATACAGACTGGTAATAAAGTTTTCTTTATTGCTTAAGAAAATAAATAGCTTAATTTGGATTTTTAAGTTTATGATATTAGAACTACAACTCAATTATATAAAGAGACTCTTAAGAAAATATGTAATATTTTTTACTAAAGTTAACAAAATAGTTTATATTTTCAACAAACAAATTAAAATAGTCTAAATGGAACCCAAAACTATAGACCGTAAGTACTTAACTCTAACCTAAAACCCTAAACCACTATTCCTTAACTCTAACCTAAAATATTAAACAAACCCCAAGAAAAAATAATAATTTAGTTTAAACCCAAAATCTAAACCCGATATACCAAAATGGGTTATTTCCTCAATTTCAAAAGAACCGGCCTTTTCTATAATTTATACCTTTT